ATACCTTTAATTCTTGTATATCATTTGGACAATAATGTAAAAGAAATATAGATTTAGCCAATTAGCATACCAGTCTAAACAATGTGGCCTTATTACACACGAAACTATTTTATTATCGGTATTTTTCCCTCTTTAATAAATACTTCATGATACCAGTCATAACAATGTACTACTATACATGCCTGAAAATAACAAATATATGATTGAAAAAGTATGTATAGAAAAACTTTTAAAAGTAAATTTCTATAAATGAGACAAATAATTAAATCATCATTTTCAAAGTAATGCCATATTCTTACAAGGTATCATACTACTATGGGTGGCGCGAGGCAGTCAACCTTGGGGGACCGTAGCAAAATTTTTTGGAGTGAAATGATGAATTTTGCGATTTTTTGGGGGGTGTAGCATTATCTTTGGTAAAAAAACCTAAGAAGATTTATCGATATTGTTGAGCAAAATACAGAAATTTCAAGAGATTGGAGGATTATTACACTCACCCCTCAGTCGCGCCATCCCTGGTCTACGACATTTATCAAAATTGATGTTTTAACTATGAAGCTTATTTCATCTAGCCATTATCCGTATAATATAGATCAATAGATGTCAGACAAAGACAAATAATCTCTAACATTTAATCTGAATATAAAACTTGAAAAAATAATTTTCACATTCTTCTTTTATTTATTTTAATATTTTAAAAAATTCTTAATTGTTTTCAAAATGAAATTGTTTTACAATAGTGGAATGCAATTCTTGATTGGATAAAATCTATTTGAAATAAACAGAGGGCTATATTCCGTAATTATAAAGATTCATTTTGTATGGCGCATTGATTCATATGTACTTTGAGTTATCCTACTAATTATTGTTCTAGATAATATCTCTCTTAAGTTTTTCTTTCTATTGATCATCAAATAGAAATATATTTTTTCTCTATTCAAAACAATGACAACGATACCATCAACAGATGAACAAAAATTTCTTGCAACACTTCAAGAGTGTTTGCAACCCGATAATGAAAAACGTATAGCTGCCGAGGTTTATATTAAATTTTATTTTAATATTAAATAATATATATATATATATATTATTAGGCTATTTATCAAGATATACCGGATGAACAAAAAATAGTTTTATTAATGTCAACATTACGAAATATATCATTAGGAACACCGGTAAGAGATAAAAGTTTATAAAGAAAAAGAAAAGTAATGGAAGTTTATTTTTAAGCTTCGAGCATTTGCTGCTGTTTTACTTCGACGTTTATTTCAAACACAATATGAAAATTTTTGGTCAAAATATTCCCCTGATCAACAAATGGCTTTAAAAAAAGAATTGCTCGCTCGTATAACACAAATAGATGATGATGAAACTATTCGAAAGAAAATTTGTTATGTTGTTGCTGAATTAGCTAGAAATTTAATGGGTATTTTTTGACAAAAAAGAAACATAAAATCTTATTGTTTTATTAAAATTAGATGAAAATGATCAATCACAATGGCCTGAAGTTATGGAATTTCTTTTTCAATCAGCTAATTCATCACATAGCACATTAAAAGAATCATCTTTAATTATTTTTGAGTAAATTATTATTTCTACCATCATCTTATTAATATGAATATTTAATTCTAGAGCTTTTCCAGGAATATTTGGTAATCAAGCTGAACAATTAACACAAATAATTCATCAAATCTTTTTGAATTGTTTAAATGATCAAGAAACAAAAGTTCGTTATACAGCTGCAACAGCATTTGCAGCTTATCTCAAACATAATTGTGATAATGCACAATTACTCAATATATATCGAGATTGTTTACCATTTCTTATTACGGTATGTTTTTATTTTATTCGATAAAAGATCTTTAGCGTAAGATTTGATTTTAGACTGTAACACATAGTTTGGGTAATACAGATGATGATACTGTATTAAAAGCATTGGTTGATATCGCTGAAAATGTTCCAAAATATCTTCGTCCTGCAGTTGATGATATTTTTAATTTAATGCTTCAAGTTTGTATAAAATTACAGAACAGAAACAAAAAACATTTTCTTTAAATTATTAAAAAATAGACAATGCAAGAAAAAGATAAATTTGAAGAATCACGTCGTCATTTAGCACTTGAAGTACTTATTACTCTTTCGGAAACAGCTAGTGGAATGGTACGAAAAGTAGCGAAGAAATATTTAAATAGACTTGGTAAATATAGATTTTCACGATAAATAAATATATATTTTAATTTTATTTAGTTCCTCAATTACTTGAAATGATGGTCGATTTAGATGATGATGCTGAATGGTCAACAAAAGATACAATCGAAGATGAAGAAGATGACAGGTTAGATATATTAATCGACTGGAAACGAGAGGATTACGTTAAGAAAAAAGTACATTCATTGCAAAGAGATTGAATACGAACGTTATATTGGTAGCGACATATTCATCACCCTTTAAAATTGTACGATAAAAATTTTTTTTACATCCATTCAAAACCGAATGTAAATATACGTCTCTCGTCTCCGAGGGGTTAAGTATAGTGTTAAATTATCGACTATGAGAATACTTGAAAGTGTTATATTATATTGAAATAGAATTTTCTTTTGTAGTATTCAAAGGAGAATGACACAGAGAGTGATGAGTTTATAGCAATCGGAATAAATGTCAAGTTAATAAATAAAACCAATAAACTTTTTTCTTATTCATATAAGCAAATACATAATATCATTGATGTATCTATTAGAATATGAAAAGATAACTATTGATATTTTATGCATTCTCTTCTTTCTGTTGTGCAACATATGTTGATCTTTCATTCATTCTGATGTCAATATTAGTTCTATTTTATAAGGCTAAAGATCAAGAAAGGTGGATAAATATTTTTTCATAATAATAGTTAGATCGACTTTGTAATATAAACATTGATACCAAAGTTTTTGTTAGTACGATCTCAAATCATAATGTTATTCTCCAGGAAAAGTTTTACAAGACATCGTTATGAATTAATTCAATAGATTAAAAACCATGATAAAAGCTTATAATACTGATAAATCTTAATGAGTAGTGCAAAAGTTTCAAAAAAAACAGATTGTTTGTACTACATAATCAACTAAATTGATTACTTTTTTATCTTTGAAAGATTAACTTAAATATCAACAACTATTTGCAGGTTAAATAATCTGAATTACAAAATGATTCGGTCTGTTTATAAAACAGTTGTATTTTTATATAAAAAAAATCCTCGCTGAATTCGCTTTCTCATTATTATTATTAAAGGTATTTATTCGAAAGCAAATATATAAATTGAAAATATAGTCTAATAAAATATGACATTTTTCATCACTTATTTATCTACAAACTGCTTGAGTAGTCTTTGAAAATAATTTCCTTTTTAGTAATGCTGTTGTTGGAGAAAGTTCATTAGATCGTTTAGCATGTGCACTTGGTGGAAAAACCGTACTCAATTATATATTAACAACTGTTCAAACAATGCTTCAAAATCGTAAATTATTAATAGAAAAAAAATTAAAAAAAAATAATTTGTTTTTTTAAATTATCTAGCTGATTGGCGTTATCGTCATGCTGGTTTAATGGCATTATCAGCTACTGGTGAAGGTTGTCATAAAGAAATGGGAGCAATGCTTGACGATCTTGTTAATGGAATATTAGTTTTTCTTAAAGATTCGGTAGATATTCTTATTATTTTATTTTAATATTTTTATTTTTTGCGTATAATTATTTTTAGCATCCACGTGTACGTTATGCAGCTTGTAATGCATTAGGACAAATGTCAACTGATTTTCAAGGAACATTTCAAAAAAAATTTCATGCTAAAGTTATTCCTGGTCTTCTTTCAATACTCGATGATCATGATAATCCACGAACACAAGCTCATGGTGGTGCTGCATTAGTTAATTTTTCCGAAGATTGTCCACCACGTTTACTTGTCGAACATTTACCACAAATTATTGAAAAATTAGAACAAGTATTAAGTCGAAAATATCAAGAAGTAAGAAAGTTTTCTTATTATGCACAATGAAAGATGTAAACGAGAAAATTCTGTGTGATTGGGAAATATATGACTCGTAACCCATATTTTTAGCAAAAACTTCCAGCTAATAACGATGTTTGTTCACTAAGGTATAAAAATAACAAAAACATGTTATATTGATTTCTTTACAGCAAACCGATAATAGCGTAAATCGTTTTAAGGCTTTTATCTGCGAGTTTTTTTTATTATTGGAAATTTAGAATAAGTAAATAAGATTGATAAACTAATTTATTTTTTTTTTTATTTATTAGCTTGTTCATCATAATAGAAAATTAGTTCTTGAACAAATTGTTACAACACTTGCAGCTATTGCTGATACAGTTGCACAAGAATTTTCACCTTATTACGATCGGTTAGTTTATCTATATTTTTTCTTTTTCATCAAAAAGAAAATGACTAAATCAATAATTTTGTTTATTTAAGATTTATGCCACAATTAAAATATTTATTTAAAAATGCTGTTTCAGTCGATTATCGAATGTTACGTGGTAAAACAATGGAATGCATCAGTTTAATTGGTTTAGCTGTTGGAAAAGAAAAAGTTTGTTTTTATCTTTAGTTAATACGACAAAAACAAAATCTGTATTTATATATATTTAGTTTATTAATGATTGTTATGAAGTTATGCAAGAATTAGTTAAAACTCAAGTTGATTTTGACAATTTAGGAAACGATGATCCGCAAATCGCTTATTTAATTGGTGCTTGGACACGTATATGTAAAATATTAGGCAAAGATTTTGAACAATATTTACCTATTGTCATGGGACCAGTTCTTAAAGCAGCAGCATTTAAACCAGAAGTAACTGTACTTGCTGATGGAGATACAGAAGTTGATGAAGATGACAATTGGGAAGTTTTAAATGTTGGTGATCAAGTAAGATTTATTATTTCAAAAAAAAAAATTTCATTTATAATATCATTTTTTTTCTAATTCAAAAAGGCTTTTGGAATTAAAACAACAGGTTTAGAAGAAAAAGCAAGTGCTTGTTCAATGTTAGTTTGTTATGCAAGAGAATTAAAAGAAGGTTTTGTGAATTATGTTGAAGAAACAACAAAATTAATGGTTCCATTACTTAGATTCTATTTTCATGAAGGTAATATATATATAGGGATTTAAACTTCAACACCTAAAAATTAAATATAATATTTCTCTTATGCATCGAGTTAACCCTTTCGTTACAGAATTCTTTTTTCTGCATTGAAATTCAGTAAATCCTCAAAACTAGCTGTTTTTAGAGATAGGAATCAGTGCCGGATTGAAAGGTGGGTGATGAAGCGATCGACCTTGCCTTTTTGAAAATTGCAGTTTACGGCTGACAGGGACATATGTAAAAAGTAATTCATCTATTTTCGCATGTGATATATGAAATATAAGTGATACTAAACCTTCTTATAATTGAACGGAAGTTTTAACTGCTGACGTTTATTAGTTGTAAAGCTTATCGAATGTTTTCATCAAATAACAAACGATAATTTTGAAGGTGTGGGTGAGGGTCGAAGAAGAAGAAAAACTCACATCCACATCCACACCCTTTCATAGAATCTTGAGGGTGTGGATGTGAGTTTTTCTTCTTCTTCGATCGTCACACCCACACCCTCAAGATCTATAGATCTTCCCTACCGAGATATAAATATACTCAGGTAAAAAAGATTACTATTCGAAAATATATATTTCACTTCTTATTTCTCAGTATCTCTATTCTCATCACTCATTATAATTCTGTTCAACTATTTATTTTAGGTGTTCGTGCCGCTGCCGCTGAATCTTTACCATTATTACTTGAATGTGCTAAGTTACGTGGTGATGATTATGTTCGTCAAATGTGGCAATATATGAATAAAGAATTATTTAAAGCAATTGAAATTGAACCCGATCATGAAGTACTTGGAGAATTATTTTTATCATTGGGAAAAGTATAAGAAGAAATGAAAAAGAAATTTATTTTTGATCTTCTTCTTTGTTTTTAGTGTATTGAAACATTAGGTGTAACATGTTTAACAGCTGATGAATTGAAAGAATTAACAACAATTCTTGATAGTCATTTTAAAAAACATTTCGAACGTTCAAGTGAACGTGCTGAAAAACGTCATGATGAAGATCATGATGAAGAAGCTGAAGAAGAAATGCTCGAAGAAGATGATTTTGATGCTTATATATTAAATCGTTTATCGGACATAATTCATTCACTTTTAGTTACCTATACAGATTCATATTTGGGTTATTTTGATACATTAGTTCCACATTTTCATGCACTTCTTCAACCACAACGCACCGTATCGGATCGTCAATGGGCATTATGTGTATTTGATGATGTTATACAATTTACTGGTGCACATTCACATCGTTATTCACAATGTTTTCTAACTCGAATGGCTGAAAGTCTTGCTGACCCATCAGCTGAAGTAAAATGATTTATTTTTATTAAATAAATAAAATATACATCTATCGTTTTTTTCTTTTCGTTCATAGATTCGTCAAGCTGCTGCCTATGGATTTGGTGTAATGGGAATGAATGGTGGTCCAGTTTATGCACGTGCATGTGCTGAAGCATTACCACCTTTATTTGCACTAATCAGTGCACCGGATAGTCGTTCTGTAGAAAATAATACTGCAACAGAGAATGCGGTTAGTGCAGTTACAAAAATCTTTAAATTTAATAATTCTTGTGTTGATAATATTGATAAAGTAAAAAATCTGAATTTCTGAATTTAAAAAAATTATTATTCAAAAATTATTTAGCTTCATCAAATCTGGTTATCTTGGCTTCCAATTCATGAAGATACAGAAGAAACACCACATGTCTATGGTTATCTATGTGACTTAATTGAATCGTAAGTTCAAAAACAAATAAAGAAACTGTTTTTAAATTTTTCTGTTATTATTTTTAAGAAACAATCCAGTTATTATCGGTCAAGATAATTCGAATGTTCCTAATGTGATTAAATTATTTGCTGATGCTTTTGCTAAATCAGCTATTGAAGTTTCTTCAGTAGTTGGTCAACGTATGGTTCTTATATTAAAACATGTTCAAGTAAGATTTTTCTTTTCTCTTTTAAATATATTTAAATCTATTTTTTATTTAGACAATTCCACAAATATTTCAAACATGTATGAATATATTAAGCAATGAAGAACGTCAAGCATTAGGAAATGCATTAAATTCATCTGTACCATCATCAATAACACCACAAGTTGGAACAACTAATCATTTTATGAATCATCATGCTAGTGTTTAAAATAAGAAAAATGATTCTCTTCTTCTTTTTTTTATTTTATTTTTCCACACTTGTTTGTATCCGATTGAAAACAAGTAATATCAACTCGGTTATATCGTTTTCTTTTGTTTATTTTGTTAAACGAAAACATTTATATTTAAGAGAAGAGACAATAAAAAATAAACGATATTATTATCGGGGTTTTTTAACAAATAAGAATATAAACAACAACATATTTATGTATATTAAAACTATGATTTCTTATCAATACGATTTTTCGTATGCTACACAGCAGTGTAAAAGGCGTTAGAACAGAACGTCGCATCTAATTTTAGGGTTCAAAACGAATTGCTAGTAAAGTTTTGATGTTGGACAGTGTATGTACGTGACATGTAGATATTCGATGTATCCTCATAGATACTTTCGCCATCACCCGCATCGAGCCATACGCCTGCGACGCTTCGTCCAGTCACTACACAGACATCATACTCTATAAATAAAGTAATCACTAGAAGTCTTCCTGTCTGTCTGTGAGTTTACATCAGACAATAATCTTACATTCTTGGAGGCGGCTAATTAATTTATAAGTTACACATGAACTTTATTTCACTTTTCACGTTAAACTCTTATTAATTCATCGATATCTCGAAGTTTTTCATTCGTAGCAATTGATTAAATGGTCCAGCTAGCTTGAGACTTGCGCTAGCAGATGACCGAATGATGATTTCATCTATACAGGGCTTCACCATACGATTAGTTTCAAAACTCTTCGAATTCAATAATGTAACATGATCTATCGATCAGGTCGCACGAAACTACATAAAGTCAGTATCTAACGTTTCCGAAAGCCACTAGAACAATCGCTTGAAGAACGTACGAAACAGTCTGTGTACTAAACCGCAATTATTTTTGCACTCTACTATAATAATATTATTTCATAAGAACAACCAATCTGTTTACGAAAAAGATTTAATCGTTAAACGATATATAAAGATTAAAGAAAGTATAATATTATTAGATGAATATTTATTGATCAAGTGAAAAATATTTTAACAAGCTAGTATAACATAAATAATAAATTAATTATCGAAAAAGAAAAAACACAAAATGAAAATCTATTTAGAATTTCATATATTCATTATCTGATTGAGCTTCTTTACCATCCTTCATTTAGTTGTTGCTTTAATCATCGCTACCATTCATGGCTTCTAAAATAAAATTTTATCTAGTTAAATCAATATGAACTGAAAAAACAAATATTACCTTCAACGACTTCATCTGGTTTAAGAAGTCCTTGAGCTACAGCTTCTCGGCTTTCTTTGTAACGCATATCAGCTGTTCCATCGAGTTTGGTTGGAATATCAGCTAATTTTCCTGAATCTAAAAATGAAAAAATAAAGAAACTAAATGAAAATATTCATTTAAACTAACCATCATGATGACTGGATGATTGTTGGCCGTTATTTGATTTTTGACCATTATGTGATTGTTGGTCATTGCTTGATTGATCATCTCGATTTTCTTTGTAACGATGATCTGGTTGACCATCTTTAGTCATATGTTCTGATTCTTGATTTGATTCTTGATTTGATCGTTGATTTGATTTTTGATCATCATCTTGATTATCATCACGATTTTCTTTGTAACGATGATCTGGTTGACCATCTTTGGTTACATGTGATTTGCTTGAATTATCAAGATTGTCGCCATGACGGCTAGCTGTTTGTGATTTATCTTGATTTGAAATGTTTGGCATTGTTAATAAAGTTTGAATTTGACGATAAGATATTGTAGAAGAAATGGAGTATAACGTATACTAAAACTAACAGCTATTTATACTATAAAATTTGTCCTTTGTTCGAAAGTTATATAATCTATAATGCTTTATTCGATTTTACTGAATAATCTTAGTTCATTGTTAGTGTAAATTGTACTTATCATTCAATAAAATATATAGAGAACAAAACAAAATGTGAATCAGTATATTCTAGAATAGATATCGAAGTCTATTCTTTTATTAAAAGAAACAATAGTAGAATATAATACGACAGTGAATAACCATCGTAATCACATGTATAAAACACGTGATATCGAAGAATATTCTTTTATTTGTACTTAACTAATATAATAAAATGATCATAGTACAACTATTACAAAAGAAGTATTTGTTTTTCTTCGAAATAATAAATTCGCATACGTAATAACGACTTATTGAATATACGAATTTATCAGATAGGTCGAAAGAATCCCTATAGATCATAGAGTTTAATTTATATAACATAGTTATGGTGTGTAAACAGTCATGGAATACGGATCGGCTTTTTTATACCGTAAATAAACTTTTATTGAATCGAATAGTCTATTTTAGTTTGGTAGATCAAAATTATTTTTAAAACAACGAAAGAAGCTATGGTTATTATTATATACAATTCGTATTATATTCATTTTATATATTATCTCAAAACAATTACTGGAAGAAAGTTTAATTTTCAATGCTAAACAAGTATTTAATATTCATTATTGCTAGACATTTCAGTCGATATATGATGTAATGAAGCTTTCTTCGACTTTCAAACAATATCTTTATACATGAATTGGCTGAATTCTCAACCGTAAATGTCATATTCATAGTATATATTATTTTTAAAACCTTTGATAAATTTTTGACATGTTCTATTAATATAGAATTGATAATGAGTGAGTGGAAATTTTTTGTCTAGGTAAAAAAAGCTGGAAAATACAAGTCAGAAGTGTATTTTTAGTTTATCAGGGGTAAATGAAACAATAATCGCTCATTTTTTTATTAAATTTTCTATTTCATGTGTTTTTATTTGTTATTCTTAACGTTTGCGTACTAGATCAAATATTCGTTTGCTTAATCATTCAACACTATAATCACATACATGTTTATACTAGTAGCCTGCATTAATAACTTACTTAAGATAGATATAAAACTTTATTCGATTTAAATTACATATGAAAAACAATTTTATTATTTATATTTTTACTGAGTGAATAAAGTAGTTACTTTCGTTTATCTAATGGTCAACATATAATACATAAATTAGTATTTATAGACTAGTCGTCAGTGTGTTAATAAAATACATAAGAAATATGATTGACTATTCAATTGCGTTATAGTAACACATCTTGTTATTACACAATCAGTTTTCTCAATAAGAATAATTATTTTAATAAGAAAAAAAAAGATAAAATATATATTTATTGAATAAGTTCAATGCCTTTCGTAGTTGCGTCTTTTATTTCATTGCTCGATACTATTTGAATTTGAGGTACAATGTCATTTCTTTTTATTCTTCGCCATCGATTTAAATGCATATCAATTATTACATAACGAAGTTGTTTTCGAAATCGATCAGACACACATATATAAATATAGAATGGAATCTAAATATAAATTTGTTTTTTTCTATTATATAAAAGAATTTCTTCTTACTGCATAATATGAATAATAAATACAAGTCGTCAAAGCAATAGCAAATCGTATTTGAGCTGCAGTAATTGGATCATTACTAAAACTTACATTTGATACGACAATGCGTGTAATAAATACAGGAGTAGTCGCAAATGCATTGAAAATAATTTGAACAAGAACCATAACTGTTAGTTGAATTCCATGTCGACGACGAACAAGCGGAATTGTTCGATGAGCAAGATCTCTAACACTACGATAAGCAAGTGAACCAAAAATAATTGTAATGCAAAGGGGAAGAACAAACATGAATACAGGAACATGAACAGTAGTATTATATTTTGAATAGACAGCATTGGTTATTATACAACTTGTTATTTTTGTGAAAGGTGATACAGTTGGATTGTAATAGAATAGATATGGAATTCCATAGAGAAGCCAAAAGGTAATCGAAGCAAATAATAAACGATGAGCAATTTTAATATTACTCCATTGTTGCCATCGCAGACGAGTAGATATTGCTAAGAATTGGTCAATTGTTACTAAACATAAACATGTTGGCGAAATAATTCCACATGCTTGAAAAGCAGTATATCTTAATTTGCACAAAACTACTGATGATTCTATCCAATCAATACCAACTATATTGACTAGAACATATGAAAGTAAACCTGTCAATAATTGACCAATATTTATAATTGATACGACAGTTAAATAAAATGCACTTGAACTTTGTCGATAAATTTGTAGACTAAGAAAAATAATAATATTGAGCAATCCACCAATAACTCCACCAATAATAAATGGTACGCCCATATAAATATATGTTTGTGAAGTAGCAAAATTGAGTGATGATACAATTGAATCCGACATTTAAATATTATTCTGTATATTAATAACTGATTAAGTTCAAATGGTGAAAATAAATCTTACTTTTAAAAACTAGTAAATTCTCGATGTTATTTTAATAGAAGAAGAAAAACATGATTATATCATAGTTTTAAAATGTTGAAAGTTTTTTCTTTCTTCTTTTTTTTCTGTGAAATAAGTCGGAAAATAAGATAACACTGTTAATAATTATTAATTAGTTTTTTTCTATGCATACAGAACAATAGCATGAATGTTCATCATTCGAATTTTTAATAAGAAAAGAATTTTGCTTATAGATATAATGTCGTGGCTAAGCCTCAATCTATCAACAAAAAAAAGTATGAAAGTTCGAGAATAATATTTTAATAATTGTTGGTTCCAGGCTAGTTTTCATATAGACATGACGTTATTACCAGAGGTGAAAAGGACATGATCGAATTCTTCCATTTATTAACAAAAATAGCAATAGATAATTTTGGTTTTCATTAGTGATACTGGCTTAGCGGTACTATTGCATGGAGTGATATTAATTTTCAGCCTTTTGCGTTATTCTATCGTAGTCCTGTATAAATAAATTCTATTATTAGGACTCACACGATATATATATATAAACAAATTACATATAACTGTAATAAGTATCCGCGTGATACTAATGCCAAAGCGTTAAATTACTTTTTTTAATCTTAACATCAAAAAGCATTAAATTAATTTTCTAACTCTTTCAATCCTGAAATGTTCTTGCTCTGTCTGCACGAGCACTAAGATAAACATTTATCTTCATAATCAACAGCGTTTAAAGTCTAACGTTATTATTTCTAAACATAAGAAAAGAATCACGTGTGATGAACTAATTGAATTTAAAAAGATCATATGATGTACATTATCGACGAAATGATAGTCGGGATGGAAAGGGTTAACATTAATACTAAGCCAGTACTTCTAGTCCTCATACTCACTCACAGATATACATATTTATATCTGTATATGTCCTATGAAAACCCACATAAAAAATAGTGTTCTTTAAAAAACGTATCATTTGATTATATTCAGTATGGATTTTATTTGTTTTATAAAGCTAAATATCTTGTCAACTATAGCAAATATCTGACGAGACTAAAAAAGCTTTAAACAAATTTCTTCTAATCTCATTAAATTCTTTTAATGGTGAAATATAGACTAAAAATCTTTTAATTAATCAGTGCGTAGAAGATTCATATCTAAATTGATCGTATCAACTATATAAATGTATCATATTTTTTATCTGAATCATATTGACGTCAATAAGAAAACTTTAAAATATTTAATATTGGCGTAAATTCTATTTTAATTTATAATATACTTATAATATTATTTTTATCAATATCTGTATGATATAAACTTGAAACAAAATCGAAACTTAATTAAATATAATACAAAAAAAGCAGCGAAAAAAGATAAAAAAAAGTAGTTTTAGTTTTTTGAATGTCTGTTTATATATTCGAACTCGAATTAGGCAGCCACTCGATTAGTTACATCGAATTTTTTGGAATATTTTTGTAGAAATAATTTATATTGTTTTCATTACTCTCTGTTTTTAAAACGTGTTTGCTTCAAAAATAAATAATGTGAAAATATAATCATTCGAGTTTTGTTTTTCACCATCGAGTAGTGAATGTTAGTTAAACGTCGATGAAAATACAAAACACGAATGACAAAACTGCAAACAGAACAACGAAATATCGTTACTAAATGCTGATGTATGGGTTGTATAGTATTGCGCCATTGCTATGACGTTATCTTTTATGAAGCAACGATAAATGCAATATTTCAAAACGTGTCGTCAATTACATTTACCTGTTTTCGACTATAAATACATAAGTATGCATGCGAAAAAGAAAAAAAACGAAGTATGTTACGTCGTACAAAACAAATGCTCGCAATGGATGCACGACAAATGGCTAATTCCGATTCGTTTGTACCTGTACTTCTTTTAAGTGAAGAAGATGTGGAGCAATGTAGCCAAGAACAATTTCTTAAGATTATAGCTAATTTTGATGAATTATGTGCTAATCGATCAATAGAAGAACGTCCTCAATATGTTGAACAAGTTTATCATCGAATGCTTAAAATTTTGTCACAAAAAACATTGATTCCTTTGGATCATATTATTGGTGTTATTAAACAATTTATTATATATTATCCATCAATGGCAATTTTAACACTTGATGAATTGAAAACGATTGGTATAGAAATGGAACGACGATCAATAATTATTCATTTTGATATGAGTGGATCAATGAGTGGATCTGGTTTTGCTCCACTTGTTCGTACAGTTACAAATTTCTGTTCTAATCTACAAACACGAGGTATTAATATTTATGTTTCTTTATTTGGTGGAAATGTTCAAGAAAATGTACATAATGTTATCAATAATCGATTATTAACATTAGATGAATTTATTAAAGGAAATCATCAACCAAATGGTGGAACTGCTTTTTGTCCATCATTTGAACGAACAAAACAATTTCCTTCTGCCTACGATGCTATCATTATATCCGATGGAGAATTTACTGATGATATCTCTCGATTAACTTTTCAAGAACAATGTAAAACTGTTTTTTTTGTTGCACCACCATGGTCTCCAAAAGGCGTCGAACAAAAACATGCAACAGCTATTTCATCGTGTGTACACGCCAATGTACCATATATTGGTATTGCATCAGAACAATATTCTCAACTTGATACAATTATTGAAGGATTTATACGTGATCATCATTCATTTGTTAATCTGATTGGTTATACTGCAGTTGGTAGTTATATTCTTCCATCACATATTCTTGCACCAACACAAATGGTTAGAGTTTTTAACGATTGTTCATCTCAAGGTGAACAAATTTTACAAATATTTATTAAAAAATTACTTGGTCTATTTCGATATCTTGAAGAAACCGCTAAACTTAATTTTGAACGATGTTTACGGGGTATTGAATTTCAAAGTATTATGTCATTAATTACACCACTTACGAAAACATCTTACAGTCATTTAGAAACAAGTATTTCATGCCAACAATTATATGGATATTTATCAAAAATTTTAAATACTTTTACAAATGAAAAACAAAAATTAATTCATCAATTAGCTGGTGATATCAAAAGTAAACAAGAAATAAATACATTTTGGGATAATGCAATGAGTTTCAGTGAGAGATCATTGATTATTGAAGATAATGAGAAAAAATATGGATCTTGTATTGGTTATTTAGATTTACAAGTAGATAATTTAACTTGTACTAGTGAAATATTATTAGATGCATTACAACAATTAAAAACAATTTATTCACCGGAAAATCTTGATTATTTATCATTAATTCTTGATATTTTATCTTCATGTAAAATAAATCAACAATCAACACCTGGTCCAGAAAATTCACATATACCTATATGGAAAAAATCAGATGGTACAATTGAACTTTTATCTATTCTACGAATGTTACCATCATGTCTTCAACAATTTCAATATTCTCAAAAAATTCCATTGGATAACGATTGGACATTACAACCACTGGCAGCTAGTCGATTAGCATGGGTTATGGCTGCATCAGGTCGAATATTTCCAGATTTTATTACAAATGCACTACCAAGTTTAGTTGTACCAAATACAATTTTAACAGATTTGAATGTTGATGAAAATAGATCAGCATTTTGGATGAAAATCATACGTGAACTAGCTTCAAAATTAGATGTTCCACCAGAAATTCTTCAAACAATTCATCAAATTCTTACTGTTCACAATCTCAAAGGTTTTCTATTACGATTAACCGATGGTTCTATTACGTACGAAAAACAAATTTATGAAAATGTTTCACCATTTATTGATACTGATGAACCAAATGCATGGTGTATTTTTGTTGATGAAAACGGAAATCGAGTAGATGCATCTACTGGTAAAACTATTGCACCTACAGCATTTGTTACAGATCCAGATACTGTTGCTCGATGGTATTCTACAAATTTTTTTATGCGTGGTGCTGTTGTTCGACCTCGATATTTAACTTTACTTGAACATCCTGATTTACCTGAAGGTACCATCGAACTTTATCAAACGAGTGGTAAAAAAGATGTTGATATTTTACGAGATCAATTGATCGAATTGAGTAAAGGTTCTCTTTCATCCGATCAAATTAATGCTCATATTTATACAATTCGTGATCGATTAAAATCTATTCCATGTATAGTCTGGGGATCCAATAATAAAATAACTGAAACTATAATTATGGCTAAAACAGCTTGTCAAGGTGCTTCATTACCAACTGAAAAAGTAGTAATAAATATTCCGCGAAGTATTATTATTGATTATTTGACAGCACATTGTAATGATGCATTTATTGCCGGAGCATTACGTGCATTTAGTGAATATTCACGAGTAGCTAAAGAACAAGCATTAGCTGGTATTAGTGAAGTTGATTATGTTATTGAATGTGGACAAAAAACAACAGTAATACCTAATTACGAAACGATGCGTTTTATTCATTTTGATAAACCTGGTGTTCGAGAATATTTAGAAAACTTACAGAAAAAATTCATACGATCATTACGATCAGTCCTTACACCACCACAATTTTCTAGCTTATCAACATTATTTAAACAAATAGAATCAACAAAATCAACAGATGAAATTGTAAGTATAGCCGATCTAGAATTAATTCCAACACAGGCAGTTACTACAAGCTCTAAACAAACTTCATCCCGAACAATACTCGATCAAAATTTCTTTACTTGTCCAATTACACTCGATATTATGGATAATCCAGCAGCATTAGCACCATGTGGACATATGTTTGAGATGGACGCAATAGTTGCTTATTTGAATACAGCTGGTAATACATGTCCAATTTGTAGAAGTGCTGTTACTAATGTTTCACCAAATCATACCTTTAAAAATGTTATCGAAGCATGGGTAGCTCAACAAACAATATAAACATTTTATTTATTTAATCATAATTATTTTTTAATAAAAAGTCATCGAAAATATTTGTGTATTCATTCTAACTGATAAATCTTGTTAAAATAAAAACAGTTATCTACCTATTATAAATTCTGTGAATTTATTTGATAAGAACAAACAAACAATAAGCGAGCATTTCATGCTGGATTAAAATATTTAGAATAATAGTTTTATTTTTTATTGTCCTATTCATGTGATTTTCCACTATGTTCAGCAGTACAACCAGGATGATCACAACTACCTCGTCGATGATTATTTGATAGAATAGTTGGTGGTGATGTTTCATGTGTACTTGGATGCATACCAACTGTATTTGTTATTGAATTCATACCTGCTGGTGATGCTTCAGTAGCTAATTTTCCACTTGAAAATTCAGTATTTTGATCCGATGAAGACGACATTTTGGTTTTAGTAGGTAGTTGAAAAAACAATGATACGTTGGTAAACACTCTGAATGATAAAGACAAACTATATGAAAGAGAAAGAAAAAGACAATTATATTTCTTTCTTAGAACACTGAATGAATCATTCATATATATAGAAGAACAACATGATTGTGTATGGAAATTATTAATACATTAATGGATTACATCGACCTCCTCTCTTTCTAGAAAATTTCCTAGTGGTTAGAAATTATATTAGAATACGTTATGTAAATATATATTCATTGGTGACACATATATTCTATAAATAGAATTTTTCTTAAAATAAATAATAAAAAATTATGTAACATTCTAATATTTATATGTGAATTATTGCTAGAATAGAGTATACAACGTTTAACTGAGACATACAAAGTGCTTAGTATATTGAATATATGTATATAGCAAATCGCCCAATTTAAAGCAAGAAAAATAAAATATCGAATTATAGTCCGCTTTCTAAAATAAATAGTTCAATTAACTGCTCGATGTTTGTACATGACTTTGTATCCATTCTGATAAGGCTTCTGGATTTCTTGTCTAAAAATAATAGCAATAATATTTTTATTTATGTTGAAGAAAAATAATTTTTATTTTTTGTATTTACTTGAATATAAACTATTCCAGGACCAGTAAATCGACAAACAAGTCCTTCACCTGCATGCATTCCACTAATTAATCCACCACCAGTTCTTTCAATAGCATATGAACAGGTCCATGCAACTAAATGTCCATTATCAACAATCCATTGTTCACCTTGTCTTAATTGACGTTGTATAATTGCACCAAGTGATGTAACAAAAACGATTCCAACGCCTGATAAACGGTGAACAAAGAGACCTTCACCAGAAAATAATGCTTTACCCAATCCTTGAGATTTCGTATCTTTAACAACACCATGAGTCATAGCTAAATAACCTCCTTTGCCTACATTCCATTGAGTTTGACCATCTAAATGAATAGGAACAATATCACCCCTATAATGTAAAATAATTAGTTACACATTATTGTTTTTGTATAAATATAAAAATCTTACCAAATAGGTGGTGCAAGTAATACTTCTCCAGGACCAGTAAATGTTGATTGAGCCATATCTCCACCAGTAAACATTTTTTTAAATGAAAATTTAAATTTTCCTTTAAGTGTTATTTCTGGACTCATAGCGACCATTGCTCCAGGTTGTGCATAAAATGGAGCATTCGGTTGTAATGTTACCGAAAGAAGTGCGTTTGTGTCACGATGATCTATTTTATAATAACCACCATTAAATTGACCTACTGTATCAGCTAAACTATTCTGAATCGATGGTTGTGCTGCTACTGCCATTTATTCGTAAACGTTTGTAATTCTGAGTATCTTTTAATTTTTTGTCTATGAAATACGAAAAAAACGATACACAACTTAATCTTTTAGTGTATACTGAAAAGAAAAAAGTAATGAGTCAACTATGCAGACGGAAAAAAACAAAATATACAAAGAAAAAATCTTCCTCATGCAACGGCATAGAAATCAAATAGAAAGAACGGAAAGAAAAAAAAAGAATATATATAGGCCAACAGTTGTGTCGTTGCTGATTAAAATAGAGCGACAGAGAAACAATATACTTATATAAAGTTTTTTTCTTACTACCAATAATAATTGAAAGTATATATAATATGTAAAAATCTTACTTATACTTGTAATAAAAAGTATCGAACATTTACTTAAATAGTTAATAAATATTTACTTCTCGAATGTATAAGAATAATCTTCGAAAAGTAATTCCATTTATTTCACGATTATTTTTCTAAATATTTTATGAAGAATATATCTATCGCTTTTGTACGTGTCTGTACATTCGTATACATGAAAGATAAATATAGAAAATGAAATGGGATCTTTCCCATTGATGTAAATAGTATATGATGACTATTGTCTTAACATAATAAACTAAAAAAATAGTAGCAGAAATTCAATTATGCAATTGTATCAAGTTCAAGCTTTGCATAACGTACCGTAAAATAGTAATAGTAAATAGTCGGAAAACTATACTAATTCAAGAGAGTTTAATAGATTTTTCATATACGTATTTATTATACATTGAATACGACGATTGAACATATCAATTTTGTATTTATTAGTGCAAAACACTTGATTTTCTATTGTGAAACTATTTTGTAGAAAGTCAACATCGATTACATGTCGCCAATTTTAAAAAGTAATTAAAATCCTACCATTTATAATCCTTTACTAACATCTCAAAAATCACGTTCAGCAGTTTTCGTCTCAATCAATCATCTATGTAATATTTACTTGAGAATTACTTAAGATTACATCAAATAACATTTCATATAGACATTGATGACAGATATACTTCATTCAAAGCACATAAGATATTAAGAATTGGTTCTTTTTAGAGATAAAAGATATAATTTAGTTTCTAAATCAATTAAAATAATTGCTATTAATACAGTCATACTCTCACTAGTATATTAAATAGCAATATAGAAAAAATTGTTAACATGTTAGAAGCTGTTTCGGATGTTCACACAATAAAAATATACTTTTTTCCATAACATAATGAGAAATTTCAATCAATTATAATCAATGAATTTATACAGTTAATATTATCATCGATTAGACACCTTAGTGTTATTCAGTATCAAATAAAAGTAATCGTATTTATATTGATTTTATCATTAAGCAAAAAAAACTGTCTTATACAATATTTCATCAACAAATGATTTTATCGCGCCTTTATATTCTTGCAGAGACAGAACGATTATTTTTTGGTTTATACAGAAAACAATACGTAAAAACAGGCCGACCTTCTAAGAAATAGAGTAAAATATATATTTCATAAATTATAACAATAAATAATCAATTGTATGTTTAATTTACCTCCTTTTCAAAATGATATCGATAAAATAAAATAAGAATTCAATAGTAATAATATCAACTGTTATACAAATATCATGAAAAACACGTTTTATTTGTATTTAATTATTTTCTAATGAATGTATTGAATTTTTCTTTTTATTTTCGATTTATATAATAAAAACAGAACTATTTCTATCATTCTGTATTTTTCTTTCTATCACATGTTTCTGTTCTCATATCCGTAGTATAATTACCTTTTTTTTACATAAAAAAAATAATTACTTGTTCTGTAGATCGACTATTTGAGATGATATTGAACTTTTAGATAGAAATCAATAAAATTTATTTAAAAAGAAATTAAAAAATCAATATAATATAAAATAAAAATAAAATATAACTACAAACAATCGTTCAAAACAAAATTTACTAATTTTAAATCTCTTCTAACATATAATTATATTTGCTCTTGAAATAGTTTGTATAATTTCTCAGAGCAATAAAGTCTTTGTGTAGTTATGATTTTATATAGTAAATACATTCTTGATAACAATGAATACACTAATAGCAGAAATAAGAAGAAAATATTGATGTTGAATCGATGAAACACCATTACATAAATCTGTATTACAACAACAAGCTAATGCAAAAGTACCATTTTCTGTAGCCGAATAACAACCAGTACCATTATTTGGACAGTTACTTGGATCAACAGGGCCTCGAACATATTGATTACCTAGTTGTATTTTCTGTCAAGAAAATAAAATCTTTTTTTTAAAAGTGATTTGATAAAAATAAAAATTACATACTGCACAGAGTTGTGAGCCATTTGTCGCAAGAGTAAACGTAGTAGTATTCAGATTTGTTTTATCGAATGTTTGACCACAACCAGGACTTGTTGCACTAAGGCATGCATAACAATTGATCGCATCAGTTGAGTAAAAACTTAATATAACTTAATAAAAGAAAATTTTCTTTTTTTTATAAAAACGTCTTTATTCATAACTTACCTAAGAAGAGAACTGCGATACCTGTAGCTAATCGTTGCATGATAAATCGAAATAGGTAAAAAAGTAAATTTTATTGATCAATACTTGCTCTTTATATACTATTTGATTCTACGACACCGTCAATAAGGGAAGTGAGAAATATTTTTCTTCGCTTCACTGATTTATTCTAACAGCAAGCTATGGTATATTTCTACTGCGTAGACATTCAGATTAAAAACTTGATTAGTCATATTGAATAAATAAATACGCAAAACATTTTCGTTGATATCTACCTCTTCAATAGTTCTGTTTATGTGATTCATTTGTTTTCAAGTAAAATGTGTCACGTTTCAGAGATTTTTCGTATAAAAACAAAATACCAACCGAACAGAAGAAATAAAGAGGTGAAAAAATAGATCAATGCGACGTATCGACTCTCAACCTTGAATAACATATAGTCAAATGCATTATGCATACGTTTTTTTCTTTACTATTATATTACAACTTTTATATGCAGTTGTATTTTCTTTTCTACACCAAACTTTTCATAGATCTTGCAAAACAAACAATATATGTAACACGTGGTATTCGTGAGTTGATAGTTTTATCTTTCTTCAACAGAGGAATACAAATCAGAATTCGTTTGAGAACAATTTTAAACAATGTTACAAAATTTTATAAGATATCAACATCAAAGAAAACTTCTAAATCTAATAGCATACATATATTTGATATGATTAAATCTCTATTAGAATATTCATATTTTTAATCTCAAATAAATTACAAATATTTAATCTATACATAAACAAATAAAGGAGTATCACTTTCATATGAATAGAACGGATTATTTCAGAAATAAAAACAAAGCTTTATAGAAAAGTCGTTCAATTATTCATTATCTTGTTTAAACTAAAATCAACTCACATTCTCTTAGTAGATAGACAAAACAATAGAAAGTTTATAAGTTTTATTACAATAATAACATTTTCATGGAGCTTGTCAGTAAAGATTTCATGACTTAAATATTCTGCATATACTTCAAAAACATATCTGATGTTATTAGAATAAGATGATGATATTTCTTTGACATATTTATTGTCAAATAAATATGATGTCAACCACTACCGATTAAAATATAAACAAATGATTATATCATAAAACGCACAAGATTAGTTATGAGTAACTAGGTGATAAGAAATAAACTATGCTGCGTTTTTTTGTCTGATATTAAAACTTTCCTAAATATTTTATTTTGTACAAAACATATAAATTCATACTACAGTTAAATATAAAAAATATGTGTGAAATATTTCATAGATAATTTTCAATTAGTATCTAAATCAATAGAAAGAGAAAAACGATATTGAGGTGCACAAAGAAAACTGTATCTGACAGTACGAACATACATTTAAAATTCATCACATACTAAATCAGCAAAATACTAACAAAAATTATAAAAATACTTCAGTCTTGTACATCATATCCAAAATTCGAAATATTCTAACTGTGAATTTTTAAGCTAATCAGTCGAAAGAATCTTCTTTTTGTGCATTGGTGTAGTATTATATTTTCAAGATTTGTTCCTTTTTTCTTTCAGATAATAATTAGAAATTATCTATATCTACAGAATATATATTACATGTAGAATAACTCAGGTGATCTTTCTCTTGCACGATAAATGACAATATTTAAGAATGGGAATTATTTGCATTATTCGCGTATCAAATAAAATTATAAGAAAAGTTTTATGACCAATCAAAAAATTAGACTATCTGATGTAATATTTTAATTTGTTATTGTTTAGTTGTTTATTACTCATTCTGGGTATTCATCTTATTGTATTTATAAAGACTAAAAGTACTATTTTATACAAAATAGATGTAGTACAAGTACTCATTAGTTTACTGAGGGTGTGGGTGTATAGATAACTGATTTACACCGACACCCACACCACATTAGTAGATGTATCTTTAAATAACATCCATTATTAGAACTTTTCCTTTTTGTTCTAAATGAAAATAAATTTCAATCAGTTATCATATTTATACTAGAAAATTATTTTCAATTGTTGTTTATATGCAAAAACGTTACTGTCAAACTATGGTCTATTGTTTTAATATCAATATAATTTTAATATATGTAAAAAATAGCATTTATTTTTATTTTTATTTATTTTTAATACTATTAGAATTGTGTCATTTATTTGCTACTAAAAATTGTTTGATTGATTTTTATTGTAATGAATGATCGAACAAAAAATAATCTTATTTTTTATTTATTTTGTCATTAAGCAAAAAAAACTGTCTCATATAATATTTGATCAAATCCTACAATATACGACAATCATATATTTTATTCTATTCATCAACAAATGATTTCGTCACACCTGTATATTCTTGCATAGGTAAAACAATTATTTTTTGATTTATGCGTAAACAATAGGTAAAAACAGGCTGACCTTCTAAGAAATAGAGTAAAATATTTATTTGCTAAATTATAATAATAAACAATCAATTGTATATTTAAATTTACCTTCTTTTTAAAATGATATCGATAAAATAAACTTAGATTCGCCAGTAATAATATCAACTGTTATACAAATATCATTAAAAACAGATTTTATATTTGTATTTAATTATTTCCTAATGAATATATTGAACTTTTCTTTTTCTTTTGGATTTAAATATAAAAACAAATCAATCCTATTATTTTCTTTTTTCTTTTTGTCACATGTTTCTGTTCTCCTATCCATAGTCCTATTGTTTTCTTATATACTTACCATATCTTTTCTTTACATAAAAAAATAAGTAGTTGTTCTATAGATAGACTATTTGAAACGATATTTAATTTTTAGAAAAAAATTAATAAAATTTATTTTAAAAATAAAGTAAAATATTAATATAATATAAAATGAAAATAAAACACAACTACAAATAATCGTTGAAATAATTTTACTAATTTTAAGGGCCTTCTACGATAGAATTATAGATGCACTTAAAATAGTTTATATAACTACTCAGAAGAATAAAGACATCGTGTAATTAAGTTTTTATATAATAAATACATTCTTGATAACAATGAATACACTAATAGCAGAAATAAGAAGAAAATATTGATGTTGAATCGATGAAACACCATTACATAAGTTTGTATTACAACAACAAGCATATTCTGTGACATTGTTATCGTCTACATTCGTAAAACAACCATTATCACCATTCTTGCACATACTTACGTCAAGAGGCCCTCGACCGTATATATTGCCTTGTTGAACTGTCTGTAGAGAAAATAAAACCTTTTTTAATACTAATCTCATAAAAAGAAATATTACATACACTGCAACGCTGGGTTCCGTTGACCGCAATAGTATATACAGTACTATTCATCTTTGTTAAATCGAGTTTCGAACCACAACCAGGACTTACGTCACTAGTGCACAAATAGCAATTGTAAGCATCAGTTGAGTAAAAACTTAATATAACTTAATAAAAGAAAAATTTCTTTTTTTTATAAAAACATCTTTATTCATAACTTACCCAATAAGATAATTGTAATACCTGTAGCTAATCGTTGCATGATAAATCGAAATAGGTAAAAAAATAAATTTTATTGATCAATACTTGCTCTTTATATAGTATTTGATTCTAGAATAGATTGAAGAAAGGAGGGCATAAATATTTTTTCGATAAATAGCTTTCCTCGCTTCACCGATTTCTTTTGACAACTAAATATGGGTGTACTTCAACTGCGTAGACATTCAGATTAAAAACTTGATTAGTCATATTGAATAAATAAATACGCAAAACATTTTCGTTGATATCTACCTCTTCAATAGTTCTGTTTGTGTGATTCATTTGTTTTCAAACAAAATGTGTCACGTTTCAGAGATTTTTCGTATAAAAACAAAATACCAACCGAACAGAAGAAATAAAGAGGTGAAAAAATAGATCGATTCGACGTAATTATCCTCAACCTTGAATAACATATAGTCAAATGCATTATACATGTTTTTTTTCTTTACTATTATAATACGACTTTTATATGCAGTTGTATTTTTTTTTTTGCACCAAACTTTTCATAGATCTTGCAAAACAAACAATATATGTAACACTCAGTATTCGTGAGTTGATAGTTTTATCTTTCTTCAACAGAGAAATACAAACCAGAATTTTTTTGTGAACGACTTTCAACAATGTTACAAAATTTTAAAAGATTTCAACATCAAAGAAAACTTCTAAATCTAATAGCATACATATATTTGATATGATTAAAACTCTATTAGAATATTCATATTTTTAATTTTAAATAAATTATCAAAGATTAATCTATACATAAACAAATAAAGGAGTATCACTTTCATATGAATAGAACGGATTATTTCAGAAATAAAAAAAACTTCTTAGAAAAATCGTTCAATTATTCATTATCTTGTTTAAATTAAAATAAACTCATATTCTTTTAGTAGATAAATGAGACAATAGAAAGTTCATAACTTTTATTATTAGAATGTCGTAATTATATTTATTTGACATATTTATCATCAAATAAATATAATGTCGATCATTACTGATTAAAACATAAACAAATGACTATATGATAAAACGCACGAGATTAGTCATGAATATCCAAGCGATAAAAATTAAACTATGCTGCGTTTTTCTGGCTGATATGAAAACATTCCATTTTATATAAAAGATTCATATTACAGTTAAATCCGAAAAATACATGTCAAATATTTCATAGATAATTTTCAATTATTATCTTAGCGAATAACAAAAGAAAAACGAAAGAAATATAAAACGATATTAATGTACACAGAGGAATTTGTGTCGAACGATCAGAACCTACAAATAAAATCTATCAGATACCAAATCAATAAATTGCTTACAAAAATTAAAAACATCTCAGTATTGTACAAATCCAAAATTCGAAATATTCTAACTGCCAATATTTAAATTTATTAGTTGAAAAAATCTTCTTTATATGCATTGATGTTATATTATATTTTTCAAATTTCTTTCGTTTTCTTTCTGACAATAGTCGGAGATCATCTATATCTACAGAATATATTACATATAAAATGACTCGGATGATCTTTCTTTTTTTGCATAATACTTGAGAATGGCATTTATTTATATTACTAATATGAAACACAATTATAAGAAAAGTTTTATAACCAAACAAAGGTGTGTGTGTAGATATAACTGATTCGCACGGACAACCACACCACGTTAGTAGATGTATCTTTAACTGATATTCATCATTACAACTTTTCTTTCTTGTTCTCAATGAAAATAAATTTCAATCAGTTAATATTATTTGCATGTGTTATTCATATTTATACTAGAAGAGTGTTTTCAACTGTTGTCTAAATGCAAAAAAAAGTTAGTGTAAAACTATAGTATATCTTTTTAGTATCAATATGATTTTGATATATGTAAGAAACAACAATTGTTTCTATTTTTATTTATTTTTAATGCTATTAAAATTTCTTCAGTCATTTACTACTAGAAATTGTTTGATTCATTTTTAGTGTAATAAATGATAAAACAAAAAGAAATGGAATTTTATATTTATTTTGCCATCAAGTAAAAAAGAGTGCCTTAAGTATAATTTCATCAAATCTTACAATATACGTCACTCATGTTTTATTCTATTCATCTGAAATTGATTTCATCTCATCTGTGTAGTCTTTCATTGGTAGTACAACTGAACAATTATTAAAACATATCGATCTTGTAAAAAAATAGAAGAAAATATATATGTTTGATAAATTACAATAATAAATGATCACTTGTATGTTTGACCCACACCTCTTTTTAAAATGACATCGATAAAATAAATTAAGAATTGATTAGTAATAATATCAACTGTTACACACGTATCATCAAAAACAGCTTTTATTTGCATTTAATCATTTCTTAATGAATATATTGAACTTTTCTCTTTCTTTTGGATTTATATAATAAGAACGAAACTATTTCTATCATTCTGTTTTTTTCTTTCTGTCATAGGTTCTGTTCTCCTATCCGTAGTACAATTATTTTCTTATTTACTTGTCATACTTTTTTTTACATAAATAAATTAAATACTTGTTCTATAGATAGACTATTTGAAACGGTATTAAATTTTTAGAAAAAAATCAACAAAATTTATTTAAAATAAAGTAAAATATTATATACCATGCTATAAAAATAAAACATAACTACAAACAATTGTTGAAAAAACGTTTTTTAATTTTAATTTTCTTTTACGGCATAATTACATTTACACTTAAAATAGTTCCATAATTTCTGAGAGTAGTACATTCTTTTTATATTGATGATTTTATACAGTAAATATATTCTTAAAAACAATGAACATACTAATGACAGAACTAAGAAGAAAATATTGTTGTTGAATGGATGAAACACCATTACATAAATCTGTATTACAACAACAATCAGTTATATCAAGATCGGCAATTTTAGTGCTACTACAACCATTATCACCATTCTTGCAGGCCGTTGCGTCTTCATATCCTCGGACATAGATATCACTGAGCTTATGTTTCTGTGAAAAAAACTTTTTTAAATAATAATCTTATAAAAAGAAAAATTACATACGATGCAGCGCTGAGAAGCATTAATTGCAACTATAAATATAGTAATATTGACTTTTGTTAATTCGAGTTTTGAATCACAATCAGGAGTGTTCACGCTTCGACAACTATAGCATCTTATAGCACCAGTTGAGTAAAAACTTAGAATAGCTTAACATAAAAGAATGTTTTTATTTCTATAAGAATATCTCTATTTATAACTTACCCAAGAAAAGAATTGTAATACCTGTAGCTAATCGTCGCATACTGAATTAAAATCGAGAAAAATAGTAGTTTATATTGATCAGTACTAGCTCTTCAAATAGTATTTGATTTTTGAATAGTTTGAAGGAAGGAGGACATACATATTTACTTCATAAATATGTTTTTTCGCTTCATCGATTTGTTTTTACAGCTAAATATGATGGGTTTGGAGTCCCTATATACTCAAATTAATAACGTCATTAGTCACATTGAATGACTGGACACGAAATACGTTTTGATTGATAACCATCTATCAAATAATTATCTTTATATGATTTGTTTGTTTTGAAGTAGAATATGTCATGTTTCAGAGATTTTTTGTATTAAAATGAAGATATTAACTGAAAAGAAGAAATACAAAAGCCAAAAAAACGTTCGATTCGACATAATTATTCTAATCCTTAATTAATATATTCAAGTTTTCGAATGGCAATTATGTCACGCAGAATCAAAACGCGCAAAACATTTGCAACATTTGAAATACACGCTGGTTTACACGTTGCTGGCAAAAACAAAATGTGCACGGTATACTCCGCGAACAAAATTAACCCTTTATTTTTACGCCTTAAATTGATTTCTTTTCTGTTTAAATATAAATAGATATTGATACTAATATTGCTGAATAATAAAAGAAATATTCCTATTCATGTCAGATTACATAATTGTGTATTTAGTATTATTTAATATGCATTTGTTTTACATTCTTCATTAGCAGAAAATATGAACACTTTCTGTTTTTCTAAACTATAATAAAAATTCAATTTATACACTTTGGTACATTCTACTTTTAAAAACATAGTGTACACGTACATTTCGTTAGGTTAAACAAAGTGTACAAAAACACCTTACTTTTGAATTCCATTCGGAACGTTGACCATTGTCATATACATTATGTATACGTTTTTTTCTGTACTATTATATTACAACTGTGTCGTGAAAGAGAAATTGTATTTTTTCTCCTGTACTAAACTTTCCATCGATCTTGCAAAACAAACAATACATAACACTTAGTATTCACGAGTTAATTGCGTTTGATGCTTGTATCCTACTTCAACAGAGAAATACAAATAAGAATTTTTTTGAGCATAATTTTGAACAATGTTAGGAAGCTTCATAAGATTTCAAAATCAAACAAAATTTCTAAAACGAATAGTATAAATATATTTCATATGATTAAATCTCTATTAAAATATTCATATTTTTAATCTCGAGGAAATTATTAAAACTTAATCTATACATAAACAAATAAAGAATCTTGCTTTTATATCAATAGAACATATTATTTCAGAAATATCGTTCAATTATTTATTATGTTGTTTAAATTAAACTAAATTCAGATTCTTTTAGTAGATAGACAAAACAATAGAAAGTTCATAAGTTTTATAAGAATAACATATCTTTTGTTATTAGAATGTGATGGGAATATTTCTTTGACATATTTATTGTCCAACAAATATGATATTAATCATTACTGATTAAAATACAAAACAAATGACTATATGATAAAATGTACAAGATGAGTCATGAATAACTACACGATAAGAAATAAACTACGATGAGTTTTTTTGAATGATATGAGAACATTTTATTTTATATGAAACATACAAATTCATATTATAGTTATATCCGAAATATACATGTAAAATCTATCACATACTAAATCAACAAACTACTCACAAAAACTAAAAAACAGGTGAAAGTGTACATATCCAAAATTCGAGATATTCTAACTGTCAATAGTCAAACTCATCATTCGAAAGAACCATCTTTTTGTGTATATGTGTAGTATTATATTTTTAAGTTTTGTTTCGTTTTTCTTTCAGATAATAGTCGGAGATCGTCTACATCTACAGAATATATTACATGTAAAATGACTCAGGTGGTATCTCTTCTCTATAGAGTACTTAAGAATAGTATTTATTTACATTATTAATATCAAATACAATTACAAGAAAAATTTTATAGCAATAAAAGAATGAGTCAATTTGATGAATTATTTTGGTTTCTTATTGTTTAATATTTAATATTCAATCTATGTATTTATCTTATTGTATTTCTAAAGACCAAAAGTACTACTTTATGTAAAACACCTGTAATACAAGTATTCATTAGTTTATTGAGAATGTGGGTGTAGAGATAACTGATTCATACCGACACCGATACCACATTAGTAGATGTATCTTCAACTAACATTCATTACTAAAACTTTTCCTTTTTGTTCTCACTGAAAATGAATTTCAATCAGTCAATATTATTTCCATGTCTTATTCAGATTTATACTAGACGAGTATTCTCAGTTCCTGTCTATATGTAAAAAAACATTAGTATAAAACTATAATATATTTTCTTATTATTGATATAATTTTAATATTTGTAAAAAAGACGGTATTGTCCCAGAATCCGGAGAAAAAAATTCGGAAAATTTTTGAAAAAAGATTCAGCAGTTTATTTAACAAAGAACCATGTACAAGAAAGAAGAGAAATCATTTGATTTGAAGAGAAGTGATGTGGTTCACTTTTTAGTAGCCACCAATAAAGAAAGTCCTATGAGATACTCATCGCGATCGATCTCATTGCTTTCGAAATGTTTGGCATGTAGGACTGTGAAAGCTCAGGCTCAGTTCTTTCGAACTGGAACTGTCACATTCCTATTAGCAAGAGTATTGACTTTAGTTAGATGGTATCGGTGTGGATAAATCATGGACACAACACTCATACTCTCAAGGTGCACGTCTGTGTATATTTGATAATAGACGTGCAGAGCACAGTAAAGTATGATGGCACTCGATAGACGGTAATCATGATTGACGTAGACAACCATAAACATTTATGAAAGAATATTATTATTTTCTTCTGTTAGAACAATATCAGGAATTTTCCGGATTTCAAGACATTCAAAAAAACAATTGTTTTTATTTTTATTTATTTTTAATACTATTAAAATTTCTTCAGTCATTTGCTACTAAAAATAGTTTGATTGATTTCTATTGCAATGAATAAGAAAACAAAAAGAAATCGTCTTTTATATTTATTTTGTCATCATGTGAAAAAGACTGTTTCATATATATAATTTCAACAAATCCTACAATATACAATAATCATATATTTTATTCTATTCATCAACAACGCATTTCATATCTCCTGTGTAGTTTTTATTGGTAGCTCAGTTGAACAAAAGTTAAGAACAGGTGCACCCTATAAATAATAGAGTAAAATCAGGGGTGGCGCGAGTCAGCCAACATTGGGGGGGGGGGGGGGGTAACGAAAACTTTTTGAGTTTTTGGAGCGTGTAGCGAAATTTTTTTGATTTTTCAGGGGGTGTAGCATGATCTTCGTTCAAAAACTTAAGAAAATTTCCCGATTTTGTTGAGCAAAAAATAGAAATTTTCAAAGATTGAGTGGGTGTTACACCCCCGACACCCCCCGTTCTCGCCACCCCTGAGTAAAATATATATTTGCTAAATTATAATAATAACCAATCAACTATTTGTTTGACTTGCTTCTTTTTAAAATGACATCGATAAAATAAATTAGAAACGATTAGTAATAATATCAATTGTCATAAAAATATCATCAAAAACAGCTTTTATTTGTATTTATGTATAAAAACAAAACAAAACTATTTCTATTATGCTGTATTTTTTCTGTCGCATGTATCTGTTCTCCTACCCATAGTATAGTTATTTTTTTATTTCTTATGTTTTTGTTTCACATAAAAAAAATAAATACTTATTTTATTGATAGACTAATTGAAACGATATTAAATTTTAGAAAAAAATCAATAAAATTTATTCGGAGGAAATTAAAATATTATAAATTATAACATGAAAATGAAAGATAACTGCAAGTAGTTGCGTAAAACATTTAACGAATTTTAATGTCCTTCTCCGACATAATTACATTTGCACTTAAATAGTTTTTATAATTTCTCAGAACGATAAAATCCTTCTTTAGTTATGATTTTATATAGTAAATATTTTCTTAATAACAGTGAACACACAAATAGTAGGAATAAGAAGATAATATTGTAGTTGAATCGATGGAACACCATTACATAAATCTGTATTACAACAACAATTAGCTACGGTAAGATCGGCAATTTTACTGCTATTACAACGGTTACCATCATATGGACACGCAGTTGCATCACCATATCCTCGGACATAGATATCACTGAGCTTATCCTTCTATCAAGAAAAAAACGTTTTTTAATACTAACCTCATAAAAAGAAAAATAACATACCGTGCATCTTTGAGAAGCATTAATTGCAACTATAAATATAGTAACATTGACTTTTGTTAATTCGAGTTCTGAATCACAATCAGGAGTGTCGACGCTTCGACAAACATAGCATCTTATAGCACCAGTTGAGTAAAAACTTAGAATAACTTAACAACAAACTATGTTTTTGTTGCTATAAGAACGTCTTTATACTGATAACTTACCCAAGAAAAAAATTGTAATACTTGTAGCTAATCGCTGCATGATGAATTACAAGACGAAAAAAAGCTAATTTATCTTAATCAATACTAGCTTTTCAAATACTATTTGATTCTACAATAGTTTGAATGTAGAGGACACAAATATTTCCTACAATAAATATGTTTCTTCGCTTCACCGATTTGTTTTTACAGCTACAGACGGTGAGTTTGGAGTCCGTTGATACTCATATTAAATACGTAATTACTCAGATTGTATGACGGGATGAAAGAAAATACGTTTTGGTCGATAGCGATGTATCAAACAATTATCTTTGTATGGTTCGTTTCTTTTGAAGTAGAATATGTCATGTTTCAGAGATTTTTTGTATTAAAACAAAATTATTAACTAAAGAGAAGAAATACAAAAGCCAAAAGAACATTCGATTGGACACAGTTATTCTAAACCTTATATAACATATTGTCATATACATTATGCATACGTTTTTTTCTTTATTCGTATACTAGAAGTTCTGTGTGAAACAGCAATCGTATTTACTTTTATATACAATTTTGTTTGCTGCTTTTATTTTTTCTTCAACAGAGAAATACAAATAAGAATTCTTTTTTAGCATAATTTTGAACAATGTCATAAAACTTCATAAGATTTTAAAATCAAACAAAATTTCTAAAATTAATATCATAAATATGTTTCATATGATTAAATCTCTATTAAAATAGTTATATTTCGAATCTTAAATAAATTACCAAAATTGAATTTATACATTAACAAATAAACAGTGTCACTCTCATATCAATCAAAAAAATTATTATTTCAGAAATAAAAAGGAAAAGGCTTCATAGAAAAGTCTTTCAATTATTCATTATGCTTTTTAAAATCAAAATAAACTCTTCTTCTTTTAGTAGATCGACGAAACAATAGAAAGTTCATAAGTTTTACTAGACCAACATATCTTTCATCATTAGAATGTCATGACAATATTTCTTTGATATATTTATTGTCAAATAAATGTGATGTCGATCATTACTGATTAAAATACAAAACAAATGACTATATGATAAAACGTACAAGATGAGTCATGAATAAATAAACGATAAGAAATAAACTACGGTGAATTTTGTTGATTTATATTAAACCATTTCATTTTATACAAAATATATAAATTCATATTGCTGTTAAATGTGAAAAATGCATGTGGAATATTCTATAGATAACTTTCAATTAGTATCTAAATCAATAGAAAGAGAAACATGAAATAGATATAAAATGATATTAAAGTACACAGAGAAAATTTTGTCTAAGAATTAAAATATGCATTAAAAATTCATGACACACTAAATCAGCCAATTACTCACAAAAACTAAAAAACACGTGAATGTATACATATCCAAAATTCAAAATATTCTAACTGTCAATATTTAAACTTATCACTTAAAATAATTTTTTTTGTGTTGTATTTTTAAAGTTTGTATTCGTTTTCTTTCAGATAATAGTTGAGAATTATTTCCAACAACAGAATATATAGAATGTAGAATAACTCAGGTAATCTTTCTTTTGCACATAATACTTTAGAATAGTATTTATTTACATTATTCATATGAAATACAATTATAAGGAAGGTTTTATGACCAATCAAAAAATTAGACTATTGATATAATATTTTAATTTGTTATTGTTTAGTTGTTTATTACTCATTCTATGTATTCGTCTTATTGTATTTATAAAGACTAAAAGTACTATTTTATACAAAACAAATGTAATACAAGTACTCGTTGGTTTATTTTTCGTATATCGGATATGCGATCAGAAAATGATTTGATTGTATTGTTTTATATTTCATCACAAATCGTCTTTGGTAAAATGTGAACTGAGATGATTGTTCAAGTATAAAGATAAAAAAATGAACTTCAATTCAAGTTTGTAACATATACAAAAAATAATATATCTTGTTGAAAAATTTAGCAACGTTATTAAACATTGTGACTTAATCTTAATAAATGACATCGATAAAGTAAATTAAGAATTGATTAGTAATAATATTAGCTGAGATATAAGTACAACAATCAAAAACAACTTTTATTTATATTTGTATATGAAAACAAACCATTTTCTATCCTTGTATTTTTTCTTTTTGTCACATGTTTCTGTTCTCCTATCCGTAGTATAGTTATTTTCTTATTTACTTGTTATATCTTTTTTTTTACATAAAAGAAGTTAATACTTTTTGTCGTATAGATAGACTATTTGAAACGCTATTAAATTTTCGAAAAAAATCAATAAAATTTATTTAAAAAGAAACTAAAATATTATATATTATAACATGAAAATAAAGCATAACTACAAATAATTATGTAAAAAATTGAACAAATTATAGTGTCCTTCTCCGACATAATTACATTTGCACTTAAAATAGTTTCATAATTTGTGAGAGTAATACATACTTTTTGTACGTATGATTTTATACAGTAAATATTTTCTTAATAATAATGAACACACAAATAGTAGGAATAAGAAGATAATATTGTAGTTGAATCAATGAGACACCATTACATAAATCTGTATTACAACAACAATTAGCTATGGTAAGATCAGCAATTTTACTGCTATTACAATGATTACCACCATTCGGACAAGCAGTTACAACACTATAACCTCGGAGATAGATATTACTGATCTTACGTTTCTGGCAAGAAAAAAAACGTTTTTTAATACTAATCGGATAAGAAGAAATATTACATACAGAACATTGTTGTGTCGAATTGATCTCAACTATATAGGCAGTATTAGTAGCATTCAATTTGGTTAAATCGAGTTTTGAACCACAACCACGATTGGTCACTGTATTGCATACATAGCAACGAATACCATCAGTTGAATAAAAGTTTAGAATACCTTAACAAAAAGGAATGTTCTTGTTGCTATAAGAACGTCTTTATACTCATAACTTACCCAATAAGAAAATTGTAATACCTGTAAGTAATCGCTGCATGATGATTTGAAATAAGAAAAAGAAACTAAGCCATATTGATCAGTACTAGTTGTTTATATAATATTTGATCCTAGAATAGTTTGATAGAATGAGTGCATAAATATTCTTCCTCGCTTCATCGATTTATTTTAATAACAAAATATGATCAACTGGCAGTCCGTACATACTCATATTAAATACGTGATTACTCAGCAGATTGTATGATTGGATAAAAGAAAATACGTTTTGGTCGATAGCCATGTATCAAACAATTATCTTTGTATGATTTGTTTGTTTTGAAGTAGAATATGTCATGTTTTAGATTTTTTCGTTCTAAAACAAAAGATTAATCGGCTTGAATAAATACAAAAGCCAAAAAACGTTCGAATCGACATAATTATTCTAAACCTTAAGTAATATTTTGTCAAGCACATTATTTATACATTTTTTTCTTTATTCGTATACTAGAAGTTCTGTGTGAAACAGCAATCGTATTCACTTTTATATACAATTGTCTTTGCTGCTTTTATTTTGTCTTCAACATTGAAATACAAATAAGAATTTTTCTGGGAACGATTTTCAACAATGTTAGAAAACTTCATAAGATTTTAAAATCAAACAAAATTTCTAAAATTAATATCATAGATATGTTTCATATGATTAAATCTCTATTAAAATAGTTATATATCGAATCTTAAATAAATTACCAAAATTGAATTTATACATAAACAAATAAACAGTGTCACTCTCATATCAATAGAACATATTATCTTAGAAATAAAAAAAAAAGACTTCATAGAAAAGTTCTTCAATTATTCATTATGTTTTTTGAAATCAAAATAAATTATTCTTCTTTTAGTATATAGACAAAATAATAGAAAGTTCATAAGTTTTACTAGACCAACATAACTTTTATAATTAGAATGTCATGACAATATTTCTTTGACATATTTATCATCAAAATAAATATGATGTCAATCGTTACTGATTAAAATATAAACAAATGACTATATGATAAAACGTACAAGATGAGTCATGGATAACTAGACGATAAGAAATAAACTACGGTGAATTTTGTTGATTTATATTAAACCATTTCATTTTATACAAAATATATAAATTCATATTGCTGTTAAATATGAAAAATGCATGTGGAATATTCTATAGATAACTTTCAATTAGAATATAAATCAATAGAAAAAGAAAAACGAAATAAATTTGAAACGATATTAAAGTACACAAATAAAATTGTCGCGAACGATTAGAACACATTGAAAATCTATCACATACTAAATCAACAAATTACTCACTAAAACTAAAAAACACTTGAGTATTGTGTATATCCAAAATTCGAAATATTCTACCTGTCAATGTTAAAACTTATCACTTAAAATAATTTTTTTTGTGTTGTATTTTTAAAGTTTGTATTCGTTTTCTTTCAGATAATAGTTGAGAATTATTTCCAACAACAGAATATATAGAATGTAGAATAACTCAGATGATCTTTCTTTTATACATAATACTTTAGAATAGTATTTATTTACATTATTCATATGAAATATAATTATCAGAAAAATTTTATGACTAAATAAGGGTGTGGGTATACAGATAACTGATTCACACGGACATCCACACCATATTAGTAGATGTATCTTTAAATAACATTCATTATTAGAACTTTTCTTTCTTGTTCTAAATGAAAATAAATTTTAATCAATTATCATATTTATACTAGAAAATTATTTTCAATTGTTGTTTATATGTAGAAAAAAGTTAGTGTAAAACTATAATATAGTTTCTTATTATCGATATGATTTCGATATATGTAGAAAAAAACAATTGTTTCTGTGTTTATTTATATTTAATGCTATTAGAATTTTTCTAGTCATTTACTACTTAAAAATGTTTGGTTTATTTTTATTTTAATGAATGATAAAACAAACAAAAAAATGGTATTTTAGATTTATTTTGTCATCAAACAAAAAAGACTGTCTCAAGTATAATTTTATGAAATCCTACAATATACAACAGTGATATATTTTATTCTAGTTATCAATAAATGATTTCATCTCGCCTGTATAGTTTTTTTATTGATGGCTCAATTGAACAAAAGTTAAAAACCTGTCGACCTTGTAAACAGTAGAGCAAAATATGTATTTGATAAATTATAATAAAAAACGAAGAATTGTATATTTGACCTATCTCTTTTTAAAATGATATTGATGAAATAAATTAAGAATTAATTAATAATAATAACAATTCCTATATAAGTACCATCAAAAACACCTTTTATTTGTATTTAATTAATTACTAATGAATACATTAAACATTTATTTTTATTTTGTATTTATATATAAAAAAAAACAATTTCTATCATTCTGTTTTTGTCCTATGTTTCTGTTCTCCTATCTGTAGTATAGTTATTTTTTTATTTACTAATCATATTTTTCTTTTTACATAAAAATAATTAATAGCTGTCGTATAGATAGATTCTTTGAAGCGATATTAAATTTTAGAAATAAATTAATAAAATTTATTTAAAAATAAAGTACAGTATTAACATGATGTAATATAAAAACAAAACATAATTACAAACAATTGTTGAAAAAACTTTACTAATTTCATGGTCCTTCTACAATACAATTATATTTGCTCTTAATATAGTTTTTATATTTCGTCAGAGCAGTAAACTCCTTCGTTAGTTATGATTTTATATAGTAAATATTTTCCTAATAATAATGAATACAGTAATAACAGAAATAAGAATAGAATATTGATGTTGAATCGATGAAACACCATTACATAAATCTGTATTACAACAACAATCAGCTACTGTAAGATCGGCAATTGAAGTTTTATTACAAGTATCCTCATCATGCGGACATGCAGTTGCATCACCAAATCCTCGGATATATAGATCACTCAGCTGATGTTTCTATCAAGAAAAAAAACGTTTTTTAATACTAATCTCATAAGAAGAAAAATTACTTACTGTGCATCTTTGTGTTGAATTTATCGCAACTATATACGTAGTATTAGTAGTATTCAGCTTTGCTGTATTGATTTTTGTACCACAACCAATAGTGTCTACCGTATTGCATACATAGCAACGAATAGCATCAGTTGAGTAAAAACTTAGAATAACTTAACAAAAAAAAATGTTTTATTTCTAGAAGAATGTCTTTGTACTGATAACTTACACAATAAGAGAATGGTAATACCTGCAGCTAATCGTTGCATGATGAATTGAAATAGAGAAAAATAGTAGTTTATATTGATCAGTACTAGTTATTTATATAGTATTCGATCTTAGAGTACTTTCAATGACGGCGGAGATAAATATTTACTTTGATAAATAGCTTTCTGTGCGTCACCAATTTATTTTCACGGCAAAATACGTTGATTTCGAGCCTGTCGACACGCCTATGAAGGATTTGATTAATCAGATTGGATGATCAAATAAGAAACACGTTATGGTTAATATCTACCTATTGACTGATTTTTTTTTGCGTATGATTTGTTTGTTTTCAAGTAAAATGTGTCACGTTTCAGAGATTTTTCGTATTAAAACAAAAATATTAACCGAGCAGAATAATTACGAAGGTAATAAAATATATCGATTCGACGTAATCATTCTAAACCTTGAATAACACATTTTCATATACATTATACATATTTTTTTTTCTTTACTATTATATTACACGTTTTGTGTGAATTAAGAAATCGCATTTAGTTTTATATGCAATTGTATTTTTTCTTCTGCACTAACCTTTCGATATATCTCGCAAAACAACCAGTATATAACACTTAGTATTCGTGAGTTGATTGTGTTTGATGCTTTTATCCTTGTTTATTAGAGAAATATAAATAATTTATAATCGATCGTGTAAAAGATATTTTCTTTGATTTTTAGTAACTAATTCCAATAAATAAATTATACAATTAATCTCATTTCATTAAATCGTATTATATTTTATTAAAATTTCTCATTTATTGTCTATAAAAGTGTATACTAGAAAAAAATTTATCGTGTTTACATAGAATAATACAATACAAATAACAATGAAATCTTAAAATTTCCCAGTAAATTAAAGTATAAGACTTTTGACAGTATTATTATTATTTGTATTTGTTTGTCGAATAGTTTCTTTTCCTTGATCACTAAGTTGATTCCGTGCTAGATCTAATCTATCGAATATTCGGCGTGTTTGAAGCATAGTAACAATGGTATTAACACTTTCATCTGTAATTTGGTTCTGTCGTATATTAAGACATGTTAATATCTGATTATCATGTAATGCAGTACAAATTGCTTGCATACCTATATCACTAATTTCATTGTCATCAAGAGATAATACTTTTACTGTTGTATTTAATCGAAGCATAGAAGCTAGTTCTTGTGCACCAACATCTGTCATTGCAGTTCGATATAATTTCAAAGTAGTAAGAGTATGATTCTTATGAAGTGCTTGAGCAATTGATATAACACCAGTGTCTAACAATGGATTTCCATGTAATACTAATGTTTCAAGTGTTGAATTTTGTCGAAGCATTTCACTAATTAATTTTCCACCAATATCTGTTATTTGATTATCTGTTAGAATTAGATCGATTATTGTAGTATTTGTTGATAGAAATGGTTGAAAAATTGATATTCCTGTATCTCCTAAAGAATTTCCACCGAGATGAAGATTTTTTATTGATGGATTAGCTGCTAAAGCATCAAATAAATATTTAGCACCATCTGACTTGACTTGATTATGACCAGTCAAACGAAGAGTATTCCAACATCGATTTATTTTCACTTCATCAGCAATTATATATATATCATCATTAGATAAAATATCGACATAAAATGCGCCTGTTTTCGATACACGCATTTGTCGAATAAGTATATCTAATTTTTCATTTTCATATGCTGGTGTTGAATCATCTTCTTCTTCTTCGAAATCTTCTTCATTAAAATCAGTCATAATTTTTCTATTAATTATTTAAATGAATCGATTACATATATATATTATTATCAAAATTACTTACGAATTTGGTTTTAATGTAATTTCATCTCGTTGCTATATTAACACAACTTTTCACTTCTATCCAATGTTTGTCGGTTGTTATTATATTTTTCTCTCGATTATTTCTTTACAATAATATGACTCATATCGACATAACGTGGAGAATATGTTTTGTTCTCTTCGCAAAACAACAACAATAATAACAAAAAAAGATTCTTTTTTTTCTTTCTCTATTGATGTTAACGCAAGAAAAAGACGAGTCTAATAATATTCTTAACCTTGACAGACTTAATGAGAAGATATATATTTTAAACTGAGAAAAATATTTATTCAAATAAATAAATTCAAAAACATTTAAGAAAAAGCAATTCCTCCATCGATTATCACATTTTGTCCAGTCATATAATCTGAATCTTTACCAGCAAGAAACGAAACAATATTTGCAATATCATCTGGAACACCTGTACGTCCAAGAGCAGCTGTTTGTGCAAAACTTTTCATTATTTCTTCCTTTGTTGTATTTTGAAATTTTGCAAATTGTTCAGCTTGTGCATTCATTAGTGGTGTATCGACTACTCCTAAAACAAATTCATTAAATGAATATCTACTATTATCAAAAAAAAATATATTCATACCAGGACAATAAGCATTTACGGTAATTTTATGTTTCGCGAATTCTAAAGCTGCAGCTTGAGTAAGACCGCGAACACCCCATTTACTAGCTACATAATGACTCATCATTGGAAATGTTCTATGTGCAACACCACTACATGCACCTATAATTTTTCCTCCTCTTCCTTGTTCTATCATTATTTTTGCTGCTTCTTTATAACAAAGAAATACTCCACGCATATTTACAGCAAACATTCTATCCCATTCTTCTGCCGTAATATCTAGTAAAGATTTCGCTTGAGAAATTCCAGCATTAGCTACTATGACCTATAGTATATATTAGAATAAGATAAAGTATATTGATAATAAATAAATACATACATCTAAACTTCCTAATTCTGTTGCTACTCTCCTCATCATTGCTTCAACTTGTTTATCATTTGAAACATCAGCAATAATTGAAATCGATTTTCGTCCAAGTTTTTCTATTGCTTTTTGAGTATCATGTAATTCTTGAGACATACTCTCGATATCATTAACAGCAACATTAAAACCATCTTTAGCAAGACGAAGTGCAATTGCTTGTCCAATACCTCTTGCAGCACCAGTAACAAGAACATTACGAGACATCTGAAATTAGATTACAATTAGCTTTATATCTATTAGAACTATTAAAAGTATACAATAAAAAATATTTCGTGTGATTATTCATGTATTAATCTTATCTAGTACAATCAACTTGCCTTTAAAATTATCCGATCATCCAGATATTATAGTATTATCACTGTAACCCACAACATATATCTACTAAGCTATTATTTTTGAAGTACTTGTAGACGAAACTCAAATTGAACTAACATAAAAAATATCAAAGAATCATATACTGAGAATAAACCAAAATATTTAGTATTAAATTAAGCATTATAACTTACTGTATAATAAAATAAACCACGTAAGAAGGTAATCAGATAAAAAATAATCTTATGAAGTAATGATTATATTTTATGTATAAGAGACTCGATTAAATAGTTGCTTTGAAAATCTATGATTGTTTGAATACAATAAAATAAAAACATTTTTTTATATTTATGTATAATTGAGATGACGTTAACATAAGATTCTTTTGTTTTGTACCAATCACCCCTGTCTCTCTCTACTACGTTTACAATGTATTTTGAGACACGCTGATTTTTTCTTTCTATCACTTCATGAAAAGCTATTGAATACTATTTTCTTTTTATCTTATTAATCACCATGTGTACTTATAACAGAAAAATATGTCATTTAAGTCCAAAAATTTGATTATATTAATCATAAAAATAAATGTATACTTTATAGTTATAGTTTTTATTTAATCAATGTACATTATTTATTTAATTCTAGTAAGATAAACATACTCAATAAAAAATTTACTTCTTACAATATATATAATTTATAAAAGTTTAAGAAAATTCAATTCCTCCATCAATCAAAATACTTTGTCCAGTCATATAATCTGAATCTTTACTAGCAAGATATGAAACAAAATTTGCAACATCGCCTGGAACACTTGTACGTCCAAGAGCAATTAATTTATTTGAATATTCTTTAATAACTTCTCCTTTCTTCTTATTTTCATATTTTCCTAATTTTTCATCAATTAAATTCCACATTTCAGTATCAACAATGCCTAAAATAAACTCATTAAATGAATATCTACTATTATCAAAAAAAAATAGTCATACCAGGACAATAAGCATTCACTGTAATTTTATGTTTAGCTAATTCCATAGCAGCAGCTTGAGTAAGACCACGAACACCCCATTTAGTAGCAGAATAATGACTTAACAAGGGAGATGCTTTGTATCCAGAGATACTACATGCACCTATAATTTTTCCGCCTGTTCCTTGTTCGATCATTATTTTTGCTGCTTCTTTATAACAAAGAAATACTCCACGCATATTTACAGCAAACATTCTATCCCAATCTTCAGTTGTTAGTTCGATAAAAGGTTTCACTTGTGCTATTCCAGCATTAGCCACGGCAATCTTATTTACAAAATAAAAAAAAATCAGGTCGATTGAAAAGAAAATGAATACATACATCTATACTTCCTAAGTCTATTGCTACTTTCTTCATCATCGCTTCAACTTGTTTGTCATTTGAAACATCAGCGATAACTGAAATCGATTTTCGTCCAAGTTTTTCTATTGCTTTTTGAGTATCATGTAATTCTTGAGACATACTCTCGATATCATTAACAGCAACATTGAAACTATCTTTAGCAAGACGAAGTGCAATTGCTTGTCCAATACCTCTTGCAGCACCAGTAACAAGAACATTACGAGACATCTGAAATTTGATTCATATCATATAGTCGTACTTACACGAAATTCATATAATACTAAAACATGTTCAAACTGATAAATATATGTCTTCTTCTAAGTAGTGGACTATTTAACATTGAATGACGTCATGATTATGTATATGGTTATAATATCACATGTGACACGATGCATGCCTCCTTTTTTTTTCTTTATCCACGATACATATACAGTACACGATTATTCTTTTTTTCTTTGTCCTTCAGTATATACACATGTAGCTGTGTATAAAATGTTAGTTTTATCTTGTATCGATATGTTTATTATTAAAATAATTCTTTTAATTATAAAAAAAAACTAATATCTAAGAGATTATATTTTGTTATTAATATTAGTTTTGACTTCGTCTTGATACTGCCAATAATCATTGGTATATCCTTCTTTGACATGTTTTAATAAAACAGATTGTCGTGCATCACAATATTGATATTGTTCAACTATTTTTCGTTTAATATCATTAAATATTGTTTCATTAGTGATATCTTTTTCTAAAAATTCACTTAAATGTTCACATGCTTGTTCTAAATCTGCTTGATTTTGTTCGAATACATCGGATTGATTATTCTTTGTTAAATAATAAGCAAATGGATAAGTATATGTTAATATTTGTCGACATTTTAATAAAGTTTCAAATGCTTTTTCAATTGTTTGAATATCGTTCTTTGATAATTTATCTTTATTTTTCAATAATTTTCGACGAATTTTCTTAAATAATTTCGTTTCTAATTTTAATGAATTTTCATGATTACGATAACGATCAAGATAGTGAATATATCGAGATAAACCAAGAGTATTTGCAGCATCAGTAATATTAACATTATTTTCTACAAAACGATTACATTCCCTATGTTTAGACCAGTCATCTAAAAATGAAATATATAATATGTTCTCTTATGCCGATATTAAGCGGAGAGAATGTTAAAGTAATAACTGAAATAATATCATACTAGTAACAAGTAATGCTCGTCTGAAGACGACTAGCTCAGCTCTTTCTCGTAAAAATTGCGTTACTAAACAGCTATTGATTTATACAATTAAATAAAACATATGTCAGATTTGAATTCTTCGACTCCGATTACCCGTCAGTCGACTCTTATAAAAAAAATTCCTTTTATATCTAGAATTCAAATGTATACTTACTAAAACATAACCAACAAAATTCATATTGGCAATTTTTACAAGACATATGATTACAACCACCATTTTTTTCAATATGTACTTTACATTTTGGACATGCTTGTGTATTTGTTTTTAACCAAAGAACATTTAGAGTATCACCTATTAATTTTTTATTCCATTCAATTAATAAAATGCATTTTATTGGATCATGCCATGGTTGTGTACATTGAAAGCAAAATATTGTTTGACAATTATTACATGTTATTAATTGTGCATAATTATAAGATGATGTTAATGATGTTGCATTAATAATATGATTACAATCCTTTCCTGGACACCAACGAACACGAGGATTATTATCAACATATGAATTTAATATCATTTTGGTATACATATTTTTAGCAAATTCATTATCATTGAGAAATTTTAAAATCGTTTCATCATCAACAAGAATATCACATTCAGAATATGGACAAACTATTGTTTGTGAATGACCTTCATGAAGAATTTGATTTGTTATATAATTTTTCCAACAATCATTGCAAAATGTATGATTACATTCAAGATGAAACATATCTTTTTCATCATCTGAACAACAAATAGAACATAGATTAGTTAATTCTTCTGGAGATATTTTTAAAGAAAATGGATTAATAATTTTTGCTTGCTGAAAAAATTCTTCATTATTCATTTCATAGAATTGTTCTAATAATCGCTGGTTATTCCATTTAAAATAATGTAATAAAAGTTTAATAATAGATGATGGTAATTGAAGTATATCTTTAACTTCATCAACATATTTCATCATTAATTCAATATATTGATCTTGAGTTAAAATTGAATAATGAAAATTAGGATTGATTTCATCACCTGGAGTAATTGGTTCATCAATGTATGCTTGAGGAGTTTTATTTGAAATATCATCATCAATTTCATAAAAATTTTCATCGAATTCATCGTCCGACGTCGAGAGTTTATGATTTAATTTAGATGAAATTTCTGCCAATTCATAAAAACATTCTTCATCATCATCCGAGCCGTTGTCGCTCATTTTGTTTTTTTTTTTATGTATATGTTGACTTGCACAACTATTTATTTATTTGATGTCAGAATGAAAAATAATGACTATGAAGAGAAATGAATCATCACAATTTTTTCTTCTCGTCTGTATTTTTGCGAAGAAAATATTATATGTCGTTCTGTTTCTATGTATACACGTGATAAAAAAAAACATTTCAATAGATAATGATTATGAAAAAATATATTTATTTGGTAGAGAGAAAAATAAAAGATAGAAATAACCAGAGATATTATTAATCACATGATATTACAAACAGCGGATGGTGAATTTAATTGATTACCAATTGTGTATGGAATATAAACTTTGATTTCTTTGAGAAATGTAAGATATTCTTTCAAAGTGAGTGTTGTTTGTTGAGATTTGACAATGTCTTCTTTAAATGATAGAAACATCGCTTGTTGATTAGCTTGGCATATAGAATATGTTTGATGTAATAATTGTCCATCCATTCCGTCCAGAACAGGCAAAAGAATATCTAAGTCTTTGTCAAGAAGAAATGATTTGACATGCTGTTCGGTCCATCGATCAATAAAATGTGGATATTCCCTGAAATGAAATAAATATATTTTAACTTTGAAGAAAAAGACGACTTACACTAGTGGACGAGGCTCTTTTTTGACATCGAGGTTTGGAGATGTTTTTAGTTTATCATTTATTGATGGGATAGTATTAGGATGTAAATCATCTTGTTTAATAATCGTTGAAGATGAATCATTCACTGATGGAATAATATTATGATGTAAATTATCTTGTTTGATAACCGTTGAAGTTGAGTGATTCATTCGAATTAATTGAATTTGTTTCTTTAGTTCTTCATAAGCTTTATCAAAGCCAAGTTTTGGGAAATCAATATAAATAAAAGGTGAAGTTAATACTCCAAGCCATCCATCAGCTTTATAATTCGATGTCATTACTAATGGAATGATTCGACATTGACGTTTAATTGCATAACTAGCTTCCATTTCACAAAATGAACTCTGTTTGTAAGCATCGGACATACAGACAAATATAAATTCTGAATTTTCAATTGCTTTAGCCATAGCATCAAATGTAGCACCATGCATCAGATGAGAATCGATCCAAACGTTAAAATTATCTTTTTCTAAACTTGCGAGAATACGATGGCACAGCTCTGTATCACTATGTGAATAACTTATCATAATATCGTATTGTTTTTTGGCAGTTTTTGTTCCGGAAGGTATACTTGGTTCATCTTCGATTTTCTTCACAACTATATCGGAATCTTTTTCTAATTTCCAGATTAATGCAGTAGCCACTCGTTGTATAGTCTGTTCTCGTGATGAAGCCAATGTTCGATTATAACTCATAAATTTCGTATTATCTTTTAACAATATAGCAAAATCTTTATTGAACCCCAAGGCAAGAATAATTTCAAGTGCTGGAAGTTTAGCTTTAAGTAAATCTTGATCTTCCATTACACAGCGAAGAAAAAGTGGAGAACCATTTTGTTTAATCAATTCTTCGCGAATTTGTTCATGTTGTGTCAAAGCTAAATAAGGAAATAAAGTTCAATATTGGGAAAAAATAATTAATACTAACCTTTAAGACTTCGAAGAATATTGTGTAAGCGACCTGCATGAGAAATACCACCATCAATAGTATTTTTAATGAAATCTATGAATACAGCTGCAATTCTATCCGAATTTTGTAGCTGTTTTAAATCCTCTTCTGCCAATATAACTGCAAGAATTCGATAGGCATGTAAGTGAATTTCATTATCATTATTTGATGTTCGTAGTAACTCATTCATAAGATTAACTAATTCAAGACTTTTAAGATAGATAGCAAGTTCATTATCTACACTAAAATAGAAAAGAATCTGAAGAAGTATTTGAACATATGGTATAGCAGCTTGATCAATTGTTATTGGATTGGATTCAATGACAGACATTAAAATACCTTTGACAGTATCAGCGATCTGTCGACATTCTTTATATGATTCATCACTAGTAATTATATCACCAAAATCTATTCGAAATAATAAATTAGTAAGATGTAAAACGGCTTGTTCCATCGTTGAATTCCACTTAACATATGGTGGTTGGCCTGTATTATATCCAGTAAGCCAATTATTAAACCATTTTAGATTAGCACTTCGAATTTTTTCTATTACATTCTGACGTTGATCACCGTTATACCAAGAGATGTTGTTGGGATGAAGATAAAGTAAAGTACGTTGTTCCATTGTAACGCTATCTGGTGGATCTTTAGCAACGACTTCAAACATTTCTTTATATCTAGGAGAGCAAACATGATCGATAGCTACAGTTAGATATTGTGTAAATTCTGAGTAATGTGCCATTGGTAACGACGTCTATTCCTGTTTTAATTTTTAAAATATAGTATAATAACGATACACCGATTTTGTTGTTGTAAGTGTGTGTGTAAAGAAAGAAAGAAAAATTCTTTTTTTTAAAATAATGTTAAAGCTGCCTAAGAAAAAAAGTCTCAGCCACGTTTACATTGCGGCTGTGGAATGTTCTTCTTCATAGGTAAAAATACATCAAGAAAAGAAATCTTTGCGCCTCTACCAAAGAAAATCAAACAGATGGTCCTTTGCTCGGCAACCAAGCAAAAATACATTTCACTTCGTCAAGATGGCCTTTTTTATTGCTGCAAATTAAGATATTCAACTGATTGAATAGAATTTAACTATTATTATGAAAACGAAAAGGCCAAACGCTGATCTAGAGTTTCTAATATATTTCACGCTGTTGTAATTTATTACTATTAAAGGGAATTAATGCCTTGCCGAAACAACTTTTTTCTATTTCCATACACTTATCTTAACTCACTCAGATTAATAATTACTGTGTCATACGCTCAAATTTATCCTAACCTCATACATGAATACTGGTAAAACTCTATATATATTTTTACAATTGAACCATCGAATTTGTTACTAATTCTAGCATAATTGATAATGTACGATGATATAACTGATTTCAACATTGAAATGAGCATTGTTCAAAATTCTTTATTATACATGAAAAGAAAAAGAAAAACATTAAAAACTAGTTGTATTTTCATCAAAAAGTTCTTTCAACATTTTTTTTCGTGTAATCGATTCAATATATGATTTATTTTCTAAAACATCCGGATGATCAGGTGGTAATGTTTTAAGAAATTGTGCAGTTGATTTTTCTATACTTTCAATTGCTTCATCATATTTATCTTGACTTGAATAAATCAGTGCTATGTTAAAAAGTGTAACACCAACCATTGAATGATTTTCTGGTAAAGATATTGCTGCAATTTCAAGACTTTTCGAATAACATTGTAATGCTTCCGTATGTTCTTCTAATCGATAATGCATTAAACCAATATTATTATAGAGTAATGCAAATGCTGGATGTGTTAATGGTAAATATTGTTGTTGATATTCTAATGCACGTCTTAAATTAGTTAATGCTTCTTTACAACGACCAAGTTTTAAATAAATATTGCCAACTGTATGATAAGATGAACCTATTGTTTGAGGATTACGTGGTTCAATTTGTTCTTGTATTGTAAGTGATTTTGTATAATTATTCAGCGCATCTTCATATTTACCTTGTGAAAGATATGCATCACCTATATTATCATATGTTAATGCTATTTCACTTTCATGTGTTTCAGGTATTTGTTGAAGAATTTTTAATGTACGTTCAAATGATTTAATTGCATCAGCAAAAAGTCCTTGTTTTAAATAAACAATACCTATACTATTTGTACAATTACTAACCGAATATAAATCCGGTGTATTTGAATGAAGATGTATATCTAAACCTTTTTGATAATATTCATGAGATTTTTCATAATTATCTAAACGAAAATACATTGTTGCTATATTAATATAAAGCGTCGATAATTCTAATGCATTTGATGGTATTATACGAAGAAATGTATCTAATGAACGAAGATATAATTCAACAGCACGTTGAAAATCATCTTGATTACGACGTGATGTTGCAAGCATATGAAATGAAGCAGCTATTGAACTTTGTATATTTATATCTTGTTCCGAATAATTCATATCAAACATTGTTTGAACAATTTGTTCAGCCGATATTTGTTGATTCATTGCTATCATTAATTTAATTAATGTCGCAAATGGTGAAAAACTTTTTATATCTGTACGTTTTATATCAAGTTGTTGTTGAATATTTTGTTGATTATCACATTGAACTAATGTCACATGTATAATAGCAGTACGATCTTCATTTAAATTATCTTTTTCAATTTTAATTAAACGTCCCATTGTATTCATAGTTATTAAAATATCAAAATCACTATCAGTTGAATTCATATGTGCACATTTAAAATCTTCCGGAATATCAACACGAATAATTAATGGTGTATAATCATCGCCTAATAATGGAATTTCTTTTGCAATATGTTTTGCATGTAATTGATCGGTTGTAGCAAATAAAAATTGTGGAAATACAATAAAATCTTTATTTAACATATCTTTTTGTAAACTATCTAAATCACTTCGTTGTATTGTTTGTGGTAAATAAACTGTTAAAGGTTTTATTATGGATTCATTTTCAATTTGTTGACATAGATCTTGAATAAATATACGAAGTTTATATAAAATTTCAGCATCAGGTATACGAAGTGCTTTATCGATCATCTAGAAGAAAATAAATTAAAATTTAATTAAAATTCTTTGTTTCTACTTACTTTTGATAGAAAACATTTTCTTGAAAACCAATAGATTGCTTGAGATTTTTGATAAGTTTTTTCAAACTCACTAATAATTTTTAATTCTTCATCATTTTCAGCATATTCTTGACGTGAAAAATCAATTAATTCTTTTATACCATATATTACTTCATTTTTATTTAATATTATTTCGGTTAATAATTGAAAATATACAAACATTGGATCAAGTACAACTGCATTTGATGATATACTTAAATAAATCATTAAATCACGTGAAATTTTATTTATACTATTTCTTATATCTTCATATATATCATTAATATTTGTATAAAAACCTTGAATTTTTGATTTTGTTGATGTAAATTCAATATCATTGTCATTAATATCATGTAAAATATAAATTGTAAAAATTTGTTGAAGTTCTTGAATACGTGGAAGAATTGAATGTGAAAATAAATTCGAAATAATCAATATAATTTTTTCATAACTTATACTATTTATAAATGCAACACAATCATCAGTATCATTGAAAATTTTAACGAAATTTACAAGATTTCGAAGTTGTTTTATTATTTTTTCCGCAGGAGATGATGAATGTAAATAAATAAGAGCAAAATGTTCAACATTGCCTCTTTCGCGAATTGATATATCCGATGTTACTTCTGGACGTTCAATTTGTTGTTCTAATTAAAAATCAAACATATGAAATACAATTCAACTATTCTAATATAAAACATCTAAAACTCATTAAGACTTTTGTGTAGTTGACCGTATTCTTTAGACTATCAATAGATCATCGGACTCTAATCAAAACATAAGTTTGTTGACATGAAGAGAATAAGACGGTAAAATAGACAGTAGTTATAACTATAATAGAAAAATAGTCTGATAAACGATTCATATCGTTCTAATGATAGATAAGTTACGAAATCATCATGATGACTTATGTTCGGTATTAACTGGAAAAGAAAATTCAATCTAATCGAAAGTGTAACAGATACTATTTAAATGTAATGAAAATAATATTCTTTAGTAAAAATATTTGGCTATCGATAATAGAACCTATTTAGAAAAAAAATATTTACGTCGTAAAATTCCAAGTCGAGTGAGTAATAATTGTGTTGCATCATTGGCAATAGCCATTTCATTCGAATTATTAAGGCTTAATGTAGGTCTTATATCATCTGAATTAGTTTCAGTTTGTAATGATATGGATTCTTGATGTTGAGTATATCGATTTTGATTATTATCAAAATTTGAAGTTGATTGAGAAGCTAAAAATAAAATAATTCCTATTTAAATTTAATAAAGATTTTTTTTGTTAAAACCTGGATTCAATTGACTATGTGTTGTTGATGATGATGAATCAAATAGATATTCGATAGTTTGTTCATGAATGGAAAGTATGGGTGAATCGGGTGCTTCAGAAACTGACATCATTGATAATTGAGGTGGTCCTTAAAGATAAAAATTTATATTTTTGAAATAAAATTTTCTTCAATATTACCATATTTACGTTTCGATGGTGATGATTGACTTGTAGATACTGAATCAGTTTGATCTTCATCAGATTTTTCTCTTTCATAATATTTCTTACGTAATCGAGCTTTCGAATCAGATAATTCTGCTACGTCAGCAGAAAATCCTTCACTTGCTGTATATCAACTTCATAGATATATAAACAAAATAATTATTTCAAACTTACGAGCTTTTCTGTCAGTTGTTTGTGGAATGAAAAGTGAGGATGGTTTTTTCTGAAAAAATTATTTTGTACATTTAAGTAAAAACTAATTATTCTAACCTTTAATTTGGGTCCACTAAATTGATCTAAATTATATTTTTAAAATAATTTTTTTATTAAAAGAATAAAATTTACCATTTGGTAAGAAACTTGACTGTCGATGAATTGCTGAAGAACTTTTAACCTTAAAAGAATTTAATATATATATATTTCAAATCAAATAGAAATTACTTTCGGAAGAGAATTTTGTCTTGAAACTGATTCCGAAGTTGAACTCAATGAACTTAACTAAATCAATCGAATAAAATAAAAATAAAAATTTAATAAAATCAAAAAATACAAACTGTATTATAATCGAATTTACAACTAAATAAAAAGAAAAATATTTTTAATTATTCAAAACTAAAAATTAAATTTACTTATAACATGGTTTCGATCCAATAATATGTTCAATTTGAAATAATTGCTTTCGTTTATGTCTATTAACTAAACTATATTCACAACAACCTATCATTTCATCTTCAAATAAATCATTTATATAAAATTTAAATTTTATTTCGGATTCATTTCGATAACGTTTTGATTTAAATGTTAATTGGTCTAAAATATTTCTTATTTTATTTTATATCACTAGAAGAAAAAAACTTACCTCCATTTTGTAAACAACCTTTAAATACCGTTCGATTATGTTGAATAATCATTACTTCATCAAGATGTTTTCGTCGTGTATTCGAACCTCGATAGACTAATGTCACTAAACAATATTCTTTTCTCTATAATAGAAAAAAAAATCTACGATAATAATAAGAATAGAAAACAAAACAAACTCGATAATGATATTTTTTTGTATATTCATCATCTTCAGAATTGTATCGATATCTGTCCAAATCCTATTTAATAGAAAATAGTATAAAGATAATTTTTCTAATATAATGATTAACCTTAAAATTATCCATAACTGTTTCATATTGTCTTTGAATATCTTCTTCACGTTGTCTTAAAAAGCACATGAATAAAATATTTTTTTTGTTCTAAAAATTAAATTAACTTACAATTCAATTAAATCTTGAATCAATCGCTGTCGTCGACGTCTTAGAAAATAATCCATCTATCGCAATAAAGATAATTACAAATAACTTCCTTTTCTTCAATCTATATATATACGTTATTGTATATAATATTCATTTAACGATGGTAAAAACCAACCGTATGAGAGAAAAAAAACGAGAGGAAGAAAAAAGAGTAATGAAAATTTTCGTTCTTAATGACTGTATACCAACTATACACGTATGTATGTTGTTTTCTTTTTATTGCAGTTATAATATTTCGTATAGAAAAAGACGGAATAGATGTCTAACTGTGATGACCTTGCTAGAAAAACTTCCTTGAACCAAAATATTGATATTTTTCTATTCATTGGTTTTAGAAAACATATTTTTCAAAATCGTTTCTAATTTATTAGAACAAATAGAATGTCATTAGTAGCTGTCCTTTATTCAACTAATTGTTATTGTTCGTTTTTCATGCATTTCATAGACTATTTCTTTGAAAATGAGTATCCCAAGGATACACAAAATTAATCATATTTCGTCTAGCAATAAACTATTTGTTTCTCTTACTCTATTGAATATGTAAAGATCAAGAAGAAAAAACTATTTTTTTATAAGTATATATTCAAGAGCATATAGATTATCTTGATGATAGATTATTTTTATAGACTTGTAAAAACTATTTTATATATCTATTTAAGAATTTTAGATAAAAAAAGCAATGGTTTATTCATATTTATTTCCAAAATAGATTCTTATCATAATATTATCATCAAAATAATACATATATTCGTAAAAAAACATTTATTTTATCTATACTCAATATAAGTAATAAACATGTTTAGAAGATACAATCAATTAAAAATCACACAGTAATTATCAAGAAAGAAATATTTTACTTATCACGAGATAACTCGCGCTCTCTTTGTCTTTATTGGTATCTTCAATTTACTACTAGCAAGTAAAACGGAGAATGACCTTCTTTTTCTTACTTCGATTACATCAGTATTAGTATTTAGGATTTGCATAATGTACACATATATACTTACTTTTTCTATTTCATAGTGTATAAAAACGATGATTTGAAGATATTATTTAATTTCTACGTATCTAAGTTAGGATCAGGTGTCTTATACGGTATTGAAATTTTCTAATCTTATTATTACTTATCTTTCGATAAAAATAAAGAAAAAACTATGTTCTTTATAATGTCTATTGTTTTTTCTATTAAAAATAATAACTAATCAGTTTCTTGAGTAAAAATAAAAATAAAGAATATATACCTTCGCTCTCATAGATTCATATGTGTAGGAAGGTCATTTACACACACACATATACACGTGTATCACTTTATCAGTCAACTTTGTTTATTGCGTTTTAACTACCTGCACGAGCCACTAAAACAATATTTTTTATAATTTCTTTTTTATAATTTCAATAGTCTCTTTCACATCTTTAATACTAGGATGATTTGGAGGTAATGCACGTTGTTTGATGTCTAGAGCACGTTCATAATATGAAAGTGCTTTCGAATAGTCTTTCATATTTCTATAAACCCAACCAATATGGCTGTATGACTGCGCGCAATCTAGATTTGAAGGAAGAGTTTTTTGTTGAATTTCAAGTGCTTTTTCGTGAGATGAAAGTGCTTTGCAGTACTCTCCCATATTTCCATATACACTACCGATGTTGTTGTATGAAGTAGCCAAATCAGGATAGTTTGGAGGAAGAGTTTTGTGTCGAATTTTAAGTGCTTTTTCATGAAATGATAGTGCTTTCTCATACTCTCCTATCTTGTCGTACACATTACCGATATTGCTGTATGACTGCGCGAAATCAGGATGATTTAAAGGAAGATTTCTTTGTTGAATTTCAAGCGCTTTTTCGTAAAATGAAAGTACCTTCGAGTACTTTCCCATATTGTTATATACCAAACCGATATTTTTGTATGAAGTAACCAACGAAGCATGATTTAAAGGAAGAGCTTTGTGTCGAATATCAACTGCTTGTTCATAAAATGAAAGTGCTTTCGAATACTCTGCCATATTATTATACACCAAACCAATATTGTGGTATGAAGTAGCCAAATCAGGATGATTTGAAGAAAGACTTTTTTGTTGAATTTCAACTGTTTTTTCATAAAATACAAGTGCTTTGGAGTGCTCTCCCATCTTGTTGTATACATTGCCGATATTGTTGTATGAAATAGTTAAATCAGAATGGTTCGAAGGAAGAGTTTTCTGTCGAATTTCCACTGTTTTTTCATAAAATGAAAGTGCTTTCGAATGCTCTCCCATGTTGTTATATACATTACCGATATTATTGTATGAATTAGCCAAATGAAGATGATTTGAAGGAAGAATTTTGTGTCGAATCTCGAGTGCTTTTTCGTAAAATAAAAGTGCTTTTGAGTATTCTCCCATTTTGTCGTACATATTACCGATATTGTTGTATGACTGCACGAAATCAGAATAGTTTGAAGAAAGAGTTTTTTGTCGAATTCCAAGCGCTTTCTCATAAAATGAAAGTGCTTTTGAGTATTCACTCATGTGTTTGTACATGAAACCAATGTTATTGTACGAAGTAGCGAAATCAGAATGATTTGAAGGAAGAGTTTTCTGTTGAAATTGAAGTGCTTTTTCGTAAAATGAAAGTGCTCTCGAGTAATCTCCCATTTTGTCATACACCAAACCGATGCTATTGTATGAAGTAGCAAAATAAGGATGATTTGAAGGAAGAGTTTTTTGACAAATTTCGAGTGCTTTTTCATGATACCGAATAGCCTTTTCATAATCACCCTGATCTTTCTTGACATATCCTAGCTGGTTATAATAAAGCGCTTTTTCAGCCTCATCAGATGTTTGTACGAGTAATACGTTATAAAGTTCTTTAGCTTTATTAAATTGACCAATTTTAAGCAATAAGTTGCCCAATCTTTGCCATCCAGTACTATCACTAACTTCTTCTCGTATCCGATTGGTAAGTAATCGTAGTTGTTGATCTTCGTCTGATATTAATTCTAACTCGACTTGATAAATTTGATTATTATTGTTCATTTGTTTAATTACACCCACTCGAAAGACGGTGTGCATTGAAAAGAGAATTTCATCTGCTCCCTTAAAATAGCTCATCTCCTTGATAGAAGCAAATGGTACTGATTTCATACAAGGATCAATATACATTATAAAGAGAATGCCCACCATATCAAATTTTGTTGAAGCACATCGAGCGAAATCAAAGGACACTTCTCTATCTTTACTGGTGGACAAGAAATTGTTAAATGAGATTAGTCCATCTTTTGTTTTCTGAAGTTTTTCGAAGTCTGATTTTATAAAACCTTGTCCTCGATAAACTACAAAAGGTTCTTTACCATAAGTACTGACTTTTTGTTCGTATAATTGTTGGATTTGTTGATGTAAATCACGTAGAAAGAAGCCCATGTTAATGATTATATCGACGTCGAACGTTTGAAATGCTCGATTGAGCATTTGATAGGTAAAACACTCACGTGTGTACCACCATATTGCTTGTTGTGGACGATAGCTATGTTCAAATTCATCAATATTTTTTAACTCAACTTTATTATCGGGAAAAAGATTGCGACAAAAAATGGCTAAGTCCTTGATTGCCTTACGATCATATTCGATATCAAGGAGAATTTCTTTGAATATCTTGGTACACATAAATGCTGGTTCGAACTGATTTAGATTGTCAGTTGAAGCCATTTCATTTACGGTAATAAAACTTACGGCTATTAAGTCTTGGTTGCATTGTTTAACTGCCAGCTGTAATCCTTGACAGATTTCGCTGATATTTGTATAGACACCTTTGATTTTTGTCCAGTTTTCTGTCCATTCTTGATGCCTTAAATTTTTATCACAGAAGATGTAGATTGCATCTAATTGTGGCATGCCATGAATTTTGGGAACCAAATGTTTATCTGAGGAGTCTGATATTATGACGAAGACTCGTTCATTGTCAACCTGATTGAGTAACTGGATGCACTGATCTGGTTGAGTGCACAGGGTGACATCGTTAACTACGGTTTTTAACTGAACCAGTATGTTTTGGTAATTCTTCTTTGTCAGATCAATGTTGACATCTACCCAGAGAAGAAGGTAATTTTGAGCCATACGTTGCCGTGGTTGATCAACATAAGATGCTGTTGCTCTATGAGACGATTTAACGTTCTGTTTGGAATGTTTTGGACCCATGCTACTCAACTGTTGATAGTTTGATAATAATTGTATTTATATGAGAATGAGATCTCTTTATTTCAATGTTTTTATGGTGTCATTAACTGCTTCTTTTAATCTTTATTACTATTATCCGTAATAAAATCCTATTCTGTGTAAGAGTCACTTTATATCGTAAAGCAAAGTAAGTAGAAAAAACAGAAAAATGATTCGTTTTTTTCCAACTTTCTTTTCACATAAGGGTTAATATCGTCATTAACAAAAAGCATACAGTCCCTTTGCGAATAATGCACGCTAATAGTCTCACAGTATTTTATTTTATTTTTAAATGTTTATAACTATCTATTAAAATAATTAGAAAAATTAAACGATTTTTTCAATCCATTTTTCTACTGCTTGATTAACATCTTCTGGTTTTTCTTCCATCGTCCAATGGCTTGTATCTAATTCAATTGTTTCTAAATTAGGAATATGTTGTTTTTGATTAGCAAAAACCTGTGGAACACATATATAATCTTTTATTCCTGCAATATAAAGAACTGGTCGTTTTATTGTTGGATCGAGATCTTTTTCATCATCCAAATCAATATTAATAATAGCTGATTTATACCAATTTAATTTTGATTGTACGCGTTCAGTGATAACTTGACGTGCTATTTCATAATCTTTGTCCGTCATATATGAAGCTCGATTTGTTCTTTTTTTCTTTGTCATCCATTTTCGAATTGCACCAAGCGGGCCAAGATCGGTTTTCCATAATGTTGGATCACTTGGATACAAAATATCAATAGCTACATCTGCATTATTTTCGAAAATTTCTGCTGCATCATCAGAATTAAAAAATTCCCAATAACCATTAAGTTCATAACCAAAAGCTTTCTTAGTAAGTTGCATTGCTTGTTCAAGATCGAATTTTGCTGGTGGTCGATAACCAACATTAAATAAAATAAGACCTAATGTACGTTCAGGGTGATATAAAACAAATCTTGTTGCTAGTCGAACACCCATATCATGTCCAAGAACAATGACCTTAGTTAGATTTAAATGATCAAGAAGACTTATAAGATGTTGAACCATTGATTTTATTCTATATTCTTTTTCATCCAATGGAGAATATGTTTTACCATAACCCATTAAATTTAGTGCTAAACATCCGTATCCTTGTTTAGAAAAATAATCAATTTGATGACGCCAACAATAGAATGATGATGGAAAACCATGAAGAAATAATAAAGTCGGTTTAGAATCATCATTTCTTTTCATATAAACATATTCATAATTGATACCTTTAGTAACTTCGTAGTTTTGTGTTTCAAACATCATGATATTGAAGTTATAATCAAGAAACCTACAAAAACTAATAACTAAATAAATAAATAATATGTAAAAAGAGATTATTTTTATACGAAGATAAGATATATGACTATTTACGTATGATATGCGTTCGCTGTACTAGGGTATGTTATAATCGTTCTTTCATTCGAAAATATTTTTCATTCTGTTATCGCAGATGTAATATATAAAAAAAATAAGCTTTTGATAAATCGTTTACTAAAGACATCTATATTTGAAGTTCAATTTTTAATTTTTTGCTTACTATATTTATGCATCATCTGATAATACACTTTACTTCGTTTTTATCGGATTTTAAAATCGTTTCTATGGTACAGAGATTAATTCTTAGTCGTATATCAGATACTTAATGAAGGAATGTCAATATAACTTTCAGCATTAAGCTTATTGAATAAGCCATGATTTTGTTTGTAGTATACAATTACATGTTTTAAATCGATGAGTAACTTACTATTTCTTTCTATTACCTGATGTTGTATTGTATTTTAAAAAAAGCACGAGAATATTCAAAATCTATACTAGAAATATGTCTGAGTATTGGTTTGCTTGTAAAATAAAATTCATGGTCAATAGTACAAAAATAATAATAATAATTTCTATGCTTACTTGAATATGTGATATTCCAGATTTGTATTACTCTGCAGACATCTTTTTATAGAGGACGAAAACAATCAATATAGTTGTTCATATAAGCAAATGCAAAGGTGATCATTACTTCAATAGCAGGTATTGTGATGGAATGTACTGACGTTATACATATGCTGAATGAATGACAAAAAAAAACATGAAAAGCATAGGTCAGAAAAATAGTTTAACGTACAAGACAAAATTAAAGCATTTGTATGAATATTTAGTAGAAATTAACTTCAAAACTCGTCGATTATATTTAATTCAAGCAGGTGCTATATGTCACATTGTTGGTAATGTATCACGTCATACACCATTTTGGTCAAAGGTACTCGTCCTCTTGAACAAAAAATGTTAAAAAGTAAAGATGTCCAATTGTAAATGAATCAAAATACATAAATTGACTTTACTAAAGTTGTCTGTGCTAATAAAAGAATTAACAACTAATTAGTTATTTTCTTTTATATTATTTATTATAATCCGATTTCACTGGAGACAAAAAATGACTTCGTTACTTTGATTATTATAAATAACTTTAGCTATAGAAATAAAAGAATGCAATATAGTTTATATAAATTTACTTGATGTCACTATGTAAAAAACGTTCAAACTTCTATATCAAACTGTATTCAATATTATATGAAAACAACATCTAAGATTAAATTTTTGATTATGTTATTATTCGCTTTTAACCAAATAGACATGTATATAAATAAATAAAATCAAAATCAGTTTTTTTAAATATTCAGATGTAAATGATTATCAAATAGTTTTTCCAAATGACCTTCTACATAAATACATATATCATTTTTAATGAATAAATACTTATTTAAACTTTTATATACATCAAAGAAAAAATCAATCTTCTTAAAAATCTAATTCGTTATTCGCTATATCTTTGATTGCACTTTAACATTATATATATATATATATATACGTCTTTTTCTTTCGTTCAATTTCAAGCGAAATAAAACAAAGCATCTCATTTCTTGCCTGTTATACGCTTGACAAGACATTCATACAATAGATTTGTCAAACCAGATATATATATTGCTAAAATACTGTCAGTTTCGCATGATTTGCATGTTATTTTTTTTGTGTAATGATGATACAAATCGTTAAAACAAGGTGACAATTGCCTTCTTATGTGTTTCTCTTTTGATATACATCGCATTTTCTATGAATGTGTTATATTACTACATACTTTTAAAATTATTCATTCGGAAAGAATTTCTTTTTATATCATAGTATTATTTTTTCAGTCTTTTCTTTTTGAAACAGACATCAACCGTACAATTTATGATAATAAAGATGTCTCGTCGAAATATTGATCTTTAACGAATCCTTCTTGTAGTGTATCATTTTAATTTATAGACAAGCATTTAATTTACTTTTCTGTCGATTTATCTCGATATCCCTGAATTATACAGAAGCATTACTATCGTTGTCCTTCCAATGTCTCCAGCCAAATCACCTTTTTTTTTCTTTTTCTGTTCATTAATATCAAATCAAAAAGAAAAAGTGACGCAATATATACAGAATACAAAAAAAAAGAAAAAAATGAGGTGAGTCCAACCCACCGTTCAGGTAAATGAAATAGAGGCGTGCCATCGATCACGGCTCATAGAACTACCCACCATCTCTCTTCATTATTGCGCCTGTTCACCATCATTCAATAGTGAAAGAAAGCCATTAGACTATTAACCGATTCTCTTCGCTCATTCAAAAAAAAACGAGAGAGAGAGAGAACGAAAGAGGTGGAGAGAGAGAAGAGGACGGCAAGAAGAAGAAGAGAAGAAAAAAAGCGTTCTTCATTTATTTATTCATTCATTCATTGATCGTCTTGACGGTATAATGAACAAGCACGGAAGTAGGTATTCAACAAGAGAATAATTTGTTTTCGATCAATTTTTAAATTGTTCGTTTTGATTAGGTTTCTATTTTACAAATAAAAAGAGAATTTTCTTCTTTTTTGATTAAAGACATATATTTATATAGTAGACATAAGAATCTTTCAACCTTGTAAGTTGATAAGTATAGATTGATCTTTTGAATAGAAGAGAAGCTTATGAAAAAGTATTGTCATTAAACTGTGATGATCCTTAGCTTAAAATACATTTTTTCTCATAATGAAAAAAAAAAAGAAATAGTTTTTTTTTTCTTCTCTTCTTCTTCTTCTTCTAGATTAAATCTATATATAGTTTTATAATGCATTAATAAAATTGTAAATGTGTCATTTTATTTCCGATCAAATATTATTTCTTTGAAATATATTTTAGATGTAATTAGAGATATTAAAATCTCATCATGTTAACAATTCAGTATTTAATTTTTTTAATAATTCTTCAACTATCAGATTTATTTGTTCTTCTTGATATTCCAACAACAACAACAAAATCTAATAATGTAGTCAAATATAATGGAGATAAACCATCATTTCGTTCAACAAATTCATATTATACATTATTTAATTCAAGTTCATCATCATTAATTGATTATATGAAAACATTATATGAACAAGAAAAACGAAATGACAAACAGTTCAATTATAATCTTATACGAGCTCTTGCGCCACGTATAGGTAAGATTGGTTTATGAGTTTAATGTATGTCATATTAGATTAGAATTAAAACAAAAAAGAAAAAGCGAAACTTTTTGACAAAGAGAGAATGTTGAGTGCTTTTAGACACCATTTGAGTATGATCATAAATCGATATTATACTCCATGAAATAAACCAGACGACGAGACACGTTACCTTTCATGATCAGTTCAAAGTAACATGCAATCTATATGAAAATGCATTCAATGAACGAAACTAATTGGTTATAGGAAGTATTGCATTGTTATTAAAAGATTCTAACTGAATGATTTCATCGGCTTTTCTCTGTTGTCAAAAATTTAGACAATGATAGACACTTTTCTTTTCTTAGAGTTAACTTCTATTTGACGTAATGAATAGGCGGATCGTTTCTCTTCCGTAGAACATAATGATTAATTGTTGTCTGCTCGTTGACCTATGTGATCGCATAATCTTTCTTCTTCTTCTTCTTCTTCTCTATTGTCATTGAACTATTAAATAATAAAAACAGATCTCCTCATTTTGCGTATTTAGTCGAAGGAATCGATGTAATAATAATAGAGATAAACAATTATATATGTATTCCATAGAAATAAATGAACATAGTCATCGAAGTCAAGTATCATCTTAAGTAGAGTCGTTGAAGAAGAAAAAGAAAAAGAAAAAGAATAACATATAGAATCTTTTATCAATCGAAATCTACTTACTGAATAAAAATGATCAAAGACACTTCACATTGTTTTCTTTTTTCTTCTATCGATTGTTTCGAGTAATATGAGAAGCCAACAAGTCATCGATGTCCTTCACTAGAGATCATCCTATTATACATTCTTTTGGTTCAATTATGACATCTGTCATCTTTTATTTAATCTTGATTAAATTTTTTTAGTTGAAATTGATAATGTGACAATGTATGTATTTGATTTAAATGTAATTCGTCGTACAGAAAATCTTTATGCTGTTTCATTACATTTTTATAAACGTCGAACACGTTGGCCAATATCATATTCATTAAATGAAATCTATTCATCACATCGACTTTCATCATTATCTGCTCAAATACAATTAGAATCCGATTCGTATGGTTGGCAATCATTTCCAATTGGTGATATAATTCAACGTCAATTGAATTATTTAACATTATCACAAAAATCGGACTATTTCGGATTAACATTTAAACCAACTGTAACAACAAATACTCAACGACGAAATATAATTGAATTAGAAAAATTTAGTGTTTATACACCATTTCTAATTATTTATTCAAATGATACGAAATTTACAAATATTTTTGAAGAATTTATACCAAAAAATTTCGAACAAGATATTAAACCTTATGAACAATTTGAACAAGAAGTTAATCAAAGAAATAGGTATATTTTCTTTTTTGCACAAAAAATATCTTTAGAGTTTATTCATTTTGTTTTAGAATACGACGTTCAAATGAAGAAAAACAATCAACATATGATTCAAATCTATTATTACCATCATCGAATTGGAATGATACAAATATAATATCAGAATTAGATTCATGTTCTGTAAAACCATTTGTTATCGATTTTTCTGATTTGGGTTTTTCTTCGTGGATGATTGAACCGAAAAATTTTATGGCAAATATATGTCTCGGTTCATGTCAAACAAAAGTATATATATTGATAATTATAAATATTTATATGTATATTTTCTATTTTTAGTTAATGACAAATCATGCACTACTTCAATATTTTCTACAACGTTTAGGTATTAGAAATGATATAGAACTACCAAAAGCTGGTTGTGTACCTGAACGTTATTCATTTTTAAATGTATTTTATAAAAGTTCAGACTATAATTATATTATTCGTCGTTTACCTAATATGATTGTCGACGCGTGTCAATGTAGATGAATATATGTGTGTGTGTGTGTTTTCTTTTCTTTACGTTGTCGCTTTTCTTTTTGTGTATATTCGTGTGCTAATAGATTTCGTATTGATAAATGACAAAAAATAAATATGTTTGTGTGTGTGTGTGTGTATTTAAGAAGATGTCTTTTTTTCCGAGGACGCAAATTCTTTAATAAAAAAAAGAAAATCAACTTTAACAAATTGATACTCTTAAAATATCAACGAAGCGATTTACTACAGTATGCATATTGTATATATAATTATTTTTGAGTGGATATGAAAATGAGATGAATTATTGTATAATCTTATAATCACATGTAGTTCTTTCATCATCATCATCTATATGAAATGAATAAAGACTATCGAAAATATATATAAGAAAAGTTTTTAATTTAAATTAATATGTTAATATATGTTTATTTTTTTTCTTCTTCTAATTTCTTTGTTACAATATCTACGGGATATTTTAATGCAAGTCGTCGAATATCATAACTAAATTCTTCAAAAGTTTCGCGCCATAAACGAGCTTCTTCCGGTGTGTAATTATAAAAACCATTACCATTTAAAATACCTTTTCCACCTGTATTAACAATATCGTTAATAAGTTTTGGTATTTCAGTTCCATTATGAAGTGTAGGAAATAAATCTTTTATAACAGCATGATAAGCTGGTATACCGGTAAGATCCATCCAACGAAAACATCCAACTAATGTCATCCAATAACCTGCATCATTTCGACAAGCACGATCAACATCATCTACAGAAGCATATCCATTTTCAACTAGATGAAAAGCTTCACGATATAAAGCATACATAAGACGATTGGTAATAAAACCACGAATATCTTTTCGTACAAGTGTTGGTTCTTTTGACCAATAATGTGAAAGCTTATATAACCACTCGGCTTTTTCTTGATCTGTTTTATCACCACAAATAATTTCTAAAAATCTTGTTGTATGAGATGGTTCAGCCCAATGTAATCCAAGAAAACGACTTGGTATTCGAGTTTCTTGTTGAAGAAGACTAATTGGAATTGCTGATGTATTACTTGTAATAATCGTAGAATCATCAACTATATTTTCAATATTTTGATATATTTGTTTTTTAATTGTTATATCTTCAAGAGTACATTCAATGACTAAACGAGTATCTTTTAGAAGATTATAATCTTCAGTTATAGTTAATTTTTTTAAATAATAATCTGCTTGTTTGGAACATATTTCTTGTTCAAATGATTGAACAAGATGTTGACGAATACGGTTTTCAGCAGTTTCTAAATCGATTGAAAGTGGTGCAACTGCAACAACTGAATGACCAGCTATTAAAAGACATGTAGTAATACTACAACCCATTAGACCTAAACCAACTACACTCACAGGTATATCGGCTGGAATTATTGTCGATGAATTTTCATTGATTATTTCCATTTTTATTTATAACTGTCGTTCTAAAAACTATGTGAGAAGAAATGTTTACTGTTTATCAAAATTTGATAAAAATATACTTGTGGAGTTTTGTTAAAATGAATAGTTAGATAAGGAGTAGGTAAAGATAAAAAAAATATTTTCATGTCATACTAAATGTAGATGGTATAATATATATATAACTCCGATTATCTTACTTAATTGATAGATCATGTACTATTTTATTATTAATGAAAAAATTCAATCTGAAGCATACTATTCGTAGGTTAAGTAAAAGATCAATGATAGCTATTCATCAACCACTAATCCATGTTACTTCAACAGTGATGATAACATTTTTGAATAAAGATTAAACTTTATTCACCTTCCGCTTAACTGTCTAAGTTAAGATCATAAAAATCGTATCTTATAGTTTCTATTTTCTAAATCATAAACAGTTATGTCTTGATCAATTCGAAATTAACTGCATGTGATGATTACTACAAATAATGTGTATATGAAAAATATTTATTTAATCAAAATTTAGAAAATAATATAAAGCTAGACATGCTTGATAATAGCATCGGTGCAAAAATCAAAAACTCTATTTTTTTTCAAGTTCAACATTTAAAGCAGTTCTATTCCAGAATAAAAATGAAGAATTTAATTAATGTGAATATTTTGCCATATGTTCTGCATTGCTTTTTCTAGAATAAATATGTGTTTATATTAAAAGAAATGTGATAATATGTAAGGAAAATGTAATCGTACCGATAGCATTGTGATCCATAACGACATTTTTCTTTTCCAGAACCTCCTTCACGATGATCTCGATCACCTGGATGAGCAAATTCTTCTCTGTGTTCAGGATTTTTTCTTTAAAAATAATAAAATACAAGATATATTATTTTGAAATTATTTTCATGTATTACCTATAACAATCTCGACCATATCGACATGAACGACGTGATTGAGCTACACAAAATAACTAAATTACTTATCTTTAAATTAATGCTAATACTTACGATGTTTAAACGAGTCTGTTGTTAATGTTTTACTTGTTGAACCTGTTGTTAATGTTGAGCTTGTTGAACCTGTAACCATACGAGCTCGTTGTTGTGGTGTAGCAAAATTTGCTAAAAACAAAATTTATTTTATAAACTAGATATATTTAAACATACCCATTTCTTCTCGAAGAGAGTTAGGTATTTTAACATGGCATACATCATCAGCAGGAGAGAATATTTCTTCTAATGCTTCAACAATCTTGCCAAGAACTGGATGTGCTTTCATTTGTAAAAGAGTTTCTTTAGCACTTGCACGTTCATCAGGATCTTTCTTTAATAGAAGTTCAATAATAAGTTTATAACCGCCATCTCCAGGTATGACAACATCTTCTGCATGTGGATCATTTACAAAATTTTCATATTCATGCTCATCTTCCCATGGTAATTTTGCAAGAAATAATAAATAAAACATAACACCAGCAGCCCAAGCATCAGATTTTTTATGTAAACGACGTGAAATTAAATTTTTCGAATCACGTCGTAAAAATTCTGGTGATGCAAAAAATTGTGTATGAGCTTTAGTTGCATCAACAGTAACTAAAGAACGTAATGTATGCATTTTTTCAACTGTTCCAAAATCAATTAATTTAACACATAAAGAACCTTCACCTTGTTGTACTATAACAAGATTTTGTGGTTTGATATCTCCATGAATAATATTTAATCTTTCGAGAAATGCCAATGCACGTAATGTATACATGATAATTACAAGTCCAAAAGTAAATTGTTGTTCTGGACTTTTATCTGCCATACCTTGAAACCAAAATGTTAAAACATCACAATGAGCTAATTCCATTGAAATAAATATATGTTCACTTGTAACTTTACAACCATAATAGTCAATTACTGGATGAGGCTCAAGTGAAATTTTTTTAGTTAAACGTAAAAAACGTATTTCATTTTCAATTTCTTTTTGAATTAATGGTGAATTTGGCATAACTTTAATTGCAGCAACACGATCACTGCCTTTAACTACACCTTTATAGATTTGTCCAAATCCACCTTTATTAACAAACTCAGTTATAATATATGTAACACCTTCAATTTCAAGTAATTGTTCTTCTTTTTTAGTCGTTTGTGTTTCAGCTTGTGATGCGATTAATAGAAGCATGAGTTGGGCCATTTGTGCAAGAGCTGCTTCATGTTGTTTTTTACCCTGCTCTTGTTCTTCAGCTAGACGTTTTGCCATCTCGGCATGTTCTCTCATAAGCATTTCTTGTTGCTTCTCCAATGATTGAAGTTTTTTTTTGGATCCACTTCCTCCCATAGTTAGTTTATTATCTGAAAATAAAGATGAAATACTAAATAAACAGTGAAATCTTATATTTGTAATATTTTAATATCACCATCATATCTAATGGCCGTGCACACGAATGAAAAGGTATTTTCGTTTTTTTCTTCAACAACAATAACTAAAGTTTCACTTAATTTTGACAGAAAGAAAAATTTTATTAGGGTGAAGCTATTCAAAGTGTAGTAGCAGCATAATTCATCGACACACATTTATAGTTGTATTTCGGCAGAGTAACCATCATAAACTTACCGACGGAAGAAAAGAATTGTGTTTGCAAACGTGGTTTGCTTAGAAAAATAAATCTTACAAGGATTTTTTTTTGTTCTGTTATCAACCTATTCGCCGATGTATGCTTCAAGTGCGCATTGTTGACATTTTATTCAGTCATGTGTTGTGATAGTTGCTTTTCGGGGAAAGTAGCGAGACAGTAGGTAAATCCGACGATAAAAATAGAATTATGCTTCATCTTTTTGCCATAACTAGATCTCGATAGAAATGACCACCTTGAGGGTGTGGATGTAGGTATTTAAATCATCGTTCACCCACACCCACACCCACACCCTTATCTGATATTAGAGGATGCAATATTGCTTTTAGCAATAAAATAAAAGGGAACGGTGTGAGAATCACAAAATATGAATATAATAAATTCAGGAACCGTTTCTATTGGATATTTGAATACCCGGAAAGATCTTCTTCAATTAGTTTCAAACGAAATTTATGCGTCCTAGATTCTATAACAAGATTCACTCAGATATTTGTTTTACAGTGATTATTCGGAATTTGGACAATCTATAAAGAATTGTTATCACATTCTCTTGTACACTAAAATACGAAATTATATACATATCTGTGTTATTTATTTGTAAAGTATTGTCGTTTTGCATTTATATCTTTCAAGCTCACAGGTGTGCACATCAACAACCTTGATATTTGCTTTCTGTTAGCCGTATAATATAGTATCATATAAACAAGTTTTTGTTAGTTTTTGATAGAGAATAAACTAATATTTGCATAAGATTTCTCAACGGACAACAAACACATACATTATAAGGCTATTCGCGGAATTCTTTGGTCATAAGATGCGAGCCAAACATGTCAGTCAAAGAAAAGTGGCTCGTTTCATATAGAAAAAATTAGCTGATCACAGTACAGTGCTTACTTTCCATCATCGAATCTACTTTATACCCTCCTTCTATCGATACGGTAATCTTTTAAGGTCTACATGGACGTAGTACCTGTGGTTTTCCAAGTCTCTCGGAACGCTGTATATATAAACCTTTAATATCTACATGAATATAGTAGGATTATAAGAAAGCGTGAACATATACGTGAAGAAAGTGCCTCATCTGATATAAAAAATGACCCAATCAATTTCAAGTCTATAATTTCTTATAAGTTGAAATAATCTGCATGAACATCCGAGTTATCGTAACACAACTAATCACGGAAGTTGTGCTTCAAATTAAATTCTTTTCTATCCATTTGTTAATGCAAATGTTAAAATGTATATGACGCAGAGAGTTTAAGCAATTTAAAAAATGAGTCATATTTCATATGACACCTCGTTGGTATCTTCGTTCTATATCCTTGAGAATCTGACTAAAATCCTGCAAGGATTCTTTGGGTTGTTACACTTTTTTCCCAGAAAAAACTTGTCCATCATCATAATTATATTCTCCTTGTTGGAAAAA